GCCTCCTCAAGAAGTCAAAATATTTTGTTTGCCACCACCATTTTAGGTTTCTGGGGAAGAAAATTTCAAAACCACTGATGAGACAAATTTAGTTGTGATTCTTTTAAAAATCTGGTGAAAACTCGATGATGAGAAATCTGTGATTACTATGTGTACCTCTCAGAAATGGGAAGCTCTGGTTTACAGAAAAGATATTTCTGTTTCTAGTTGCCCTAGAAACTGTTGAAAACCCACACAGAAGATTATTAAAGAGGGCTGAGAATGAGACAGTTTGCTACATGCTTCTTTCTTGGTGTTGTTCTGCCAAGCAGCCATAAACCAGCAACTGCTTAGCAGAGGTTTTAGTCATATAATGTACAGATTTCTCCCCTTACCTGTCCAGCCCATTACCTTTGGATGCCCCAAAAGCACGTCAGGGCTCTTGTACACACCTATAAAAAAACTGAATGAAATACATACCTAGTAGGAGTTACAATACGAAGTAGAAGATTTGCACTAGGTGGATATTAGGTCTAAGGAGCTTAGTCAATGGACATGCTGCTGTCATACGGGACTGAACAATGCTCCCTTTGAGCACTGGTAAAGGCAATGACAAAGTACATTTCTACAGAACCATATTTTTTATTTTTTTTTATTTATGTAGGGCAGAAGACAAATGGGTAGAGCAATCAATCCTCCACTGGCTATCATCTGGTACTCCAAAATATCAGTGCACCTCAATGTCACTCCTGGGTTCTCCCTTCTGTGAAAATGCAGTGTTAGCATTTCATTAAAATAGCATTTAAAGTAACCATACTAACCATGATTTTACATGCAGGTGAGGGAAAAAACAAACACAAACAAAAAACCTCTGTTTACCCTTTGTGGGTGGGAGATCTATGGATGGGTAGGCAAGTAACATTTTGTTGACATTAGTCTTGTCACCATGTCAAATTACCTGATATGCAGTGACTGTAAATATTGCCTGACAGGACTCTTAGTAAAGCTAAGATTACTTACCTTGTAGCTTCTTACTTAAGTTACAGTGAAAGCTTAATATCTTAAAATCCACATAGTGCTAGCCATTTGCCGTAAGGAATTTGAACTGGGCTTCCATTTTGTGGCTATTAATACAAGAAAAGTTACTAGTTTGGGTACTCCGAACCTTAGAGAAATATCTTTCACTTTAATGATTACTAAAGAAAGAGCTGCCCAGTTTGATGACTGGCAAAATTCAAAGATATAAGTACTTGAATAAGAGTACTCAAATGAGAGATTTAACAGCTTATTATTTCAAGAAAGTCAACAAGCCAAGCTAGGCTTTCCTTATATACTTTAATGGAGACAAACAGAAGAGCTCAGCTGAATACACTGAAAAGTATTTTCAGTAAGAAACCAAGCCTGTTACTATCACTTGTCTAAAAGTCAGCATCTATAACTAAGTTATATTGACTTCCTAATTGTACAAGTCCATGTCAAGGGCACTTGGCGTGGATTACCTTATACTAGAAACAGTTCCTTAGTGCTTCTGTCATGTACGAATCCTGGAATACCAATGCAATGCTGAAGTCGTGATTTCAGGCACACAGTGCAGAAAGTGAAACAACTGGAAATAAATTTTATGTCGGGCATGGGTTTCTGTTGCTACAGGTCAAGTAACAATTGAACTTTAAAGATACTTCTGCCTTCTTGTAAATATGATAGAAGAAAATGTTTAAAAGTAGTAGATGCCCACATAGTGATATAATGATTACCCTGAATATGTGATGCCTAACTATCACAACAGTACCTGTTGTATTTCAGTTGCATCCTCTAACAGGATGGTGTCACTCTGACAAAAATGGAATGAAGTAGTGAATACACAGCTTTAAATAACATCACTGGAAACTGATTGAGCAGACTCATTTTTCATTGTTTTTTTCCCTAAGTCTTTTTCTGCCAATACTTTGCCATGCAATATATTTTATTTACTAGAAGCCAAACACAAGCACTTACAAGTTCCCACAGATCTGTGTGCTTTTGGCACAGGCTGGCAGTGCACATACTCTGTATCAGGAGAATTATTCAAATTATATCTATTAATCAAAACTTTAGGTGTCATTCTGAGATAATACACTGACATTTATTATACAGTAGCAGAGAGTCCTGGTTTTGATGGCATTAAAGATTATTTCAGTTGGCTTTGGTGTAATTATTCTGTGGCTTGCCAGCTTGCTGCTGTAGGTGCACCTGGAGAAATACAGATGTCTGAATTCTGGTTTGAGTGAAAATAACAACATAAAAACGTATAAAATTTTAATGTAAAGCTACATCCTAAAGAAGACAGTATTGGTACTTTCAGATTTGTTTTAGGTTTTGACCATTTACTACAAAACCAATATAGAGTTGTCTAAAGGATTCTCTTTCTCTAGCAATTCACAACAGATTTTTATTATTTATTCCCCAAGATAAATCAACACCTGAACCAACTCAGATGTACTACAGCTTTCATATACAAAACTATTACCTTCTATTAAAAGTTTGCTTTATTTGGAGAACAAACAAATAATATCAATTTCCAGGATGAAAGGGAAAAAAAAATCCTCTACAGAACTAGAAAGAATTTTTAAGGTGTTTTTTGAAGAATCATAGAACAAGTCAGAGGCTATTTGTGTCAACTGTAATTTCTTACAAGCTATTTTACATGATAACATAAATATTATTTAATATTCAGTCACTTGGAAGTAGCGTGCCAAAATAACTCCTGAGTACTTAAGTAAAAGAGATGAAATATAATGAGCAACTCCAAATCAGAATATGTTGATGTTATCTAAAAACCTCAGTGTGTCTCTGGAAGATATTCTGCTTCATAAAATGAATTCTTAATCCTAACAGACACAAAGAGAAACTAACCGGGGAATGTTAGCCTACACTTGGATGCAGTTTGTGCATTTTTTCCAGCTTCTCATAGAAAAAAGTTTTAGTGTCTGGAGTTTGTCTTGCAGCTCTCACATATTTTCTAGCGTATGAGGACAGTCACCGCTTTTTGCTTTCATTTTGCTATGTAGCTTAGAGAACTGCATGTCCCTCCAAAATTCTGTGCTTTTCATTGAAATCCTGCCTTAACCATGCTGATTATTATTCAGTGCTTAGACAAATATATGGGCAAAGGCAAATTTTCAGCAATAATACCACAGCCCACAGGAAGGTTCTCCCTATTCATGAATCTCTGTTCAGATTCTCTGTTCTCCATATATTCCTGAAAGGGACGCCCCACAAGTCACTGCTAAAATGTCTACAGCCTGCAAGATGGGGTCTCTTGGGGAAGATCCCCCACTTCAAAATACTGTGATGTAAAAGTGGCGATTTCTGTACAACCATCAATAATCCTTAAACTCTTTAAACCTGTTCTCATCTTGTACAGGTAGACTTCCCATGGCACACCCAACTTAGTAACACAAGTCCCATGAGCCTCCCCATGCAATCGTTCTCCATGTCATGCTGGCCCTTGTGAAAGTTCTATCCCAGCTATCAGAAGGCTGGCTTTAAAGCAAGGCTTAACTTCTTTTGATACTCTTGATACAGAACACACTCAGGTTTGCTTCGTTGCTCTTCTCCTCAGAAATGACAATGAAGCACCAAGAGATTAAATTTTGCAGCAGTTCTGCTGCTGCGTTTCTAACTGTGAGAATTTTGTGCCTTGGCTAGGTGCTGGGTAGAATGAAAGTATTTTAAACTCCCTGTAAGAAAACCAGCCTATACGAGGGTGGCTCACAATGCCAAACTCATATTAGACTGGTCATTACTGTTGATAATAAGTATTTTCATAAGTATGGGGTTTTGAGACAATGGTATTATTGTTTGTTTAAATTATCAGAGCATGAGGATGCCAAGCAAAGAAGCAATAGTATCATAAATCCTTAAGAAGGACAGCAATTAAGTGTACTTGCTTTTTCTTTGGCAATAGAAAAACAAAGCCTCTGTAGCTCTCAGCAGTGCAGTTTTCTGATGACAAAACTATCTCCTCAAAATCCTTTCAATATGCAAAAGCTAACCGCTTCTCTCACCACTAAAACATATGAAAACATGCACAAAAATCACAACTCAGTGACTTCACATCATAAACACGCACAGAACTTTACTGAGGATGAAACTACAGATTTGCTATTGGTGCAAGCAAAATATTTACTCATACAGTGCCACAGTACTAAGCACTGTCATTAATTTGAATTGCACATTTAAAAATGAGTTGAGAATTTGCCCTTGGGGGTTTTATTTGGGTTTTGGGGTGTTTTTTTCTGTGTTTTTGTTTTTTTTTTTTTGTGTGTGTTTGTTTGTTTTCTTTCTGTTTGTTTGGGTTTTGCTTTGTTTGTTTGGGCTTTTTTTCTTTTTACAGATCTGACAACATTCTTTTGTTTGCAGACCCCGTTATTTCTGAGCTTGATTCTGCTTCCCATTATATATTCCCATAATATATAATATTAGGGGAAGCATATATATGCATATATATATATATGTATATATATATGTATATATATATGGGGCTGCATCAAAAGGAGCGTGACCAGCAGGTTGAATGAGGTGATCCTCCCCTCTACTCTGCTCTTGTGAGACCTCACTTGGAGTATTGTGTGCAGTTCTGGTGTCCTCAACATAAAAAGGACATGGAACTGTTGGAACAAGTCCAGAGGAGGGCCACAGGGATGATCAGGGGACTGGAGCACCTCCCGTATGAAGACAGGATGAGAAAGTTGGGGCTGTTCAGCCTGGAGAAGTCTGTGTGGAGACCTCCTAGCAGCCTTCCAGTATCTGAAGGGGGCCTATAGGGATGCTGGAGAGGGAGTCTTCATTAGGGACTGTAGTGATAGGACAAGGGGAAATGGGTTAAAACTTAAACAGTGGAAGTTAAGCTTAGATATAAGGAAGAAGTTCTTTACTGTGAGGGTGGTGAGGCACTGGAACAGGTTGCCCAAGGAAGTTTTGAATGTTCCATCCCTGGCAGTGTTCAAGGCCAGGATGGACAGAGTCTCGGGCAATGAGGTCTAGTGTAAAGCGTCCCTGCCCATGGCAGGGGGGCTGGAACTAGATGACCTTAAGCTCCTTTCCAACCCTAACTATTCTGTGATTCTGTAATATTCACTATAAAATTAAGGAAAATACACAGAAGTGCAGGTGAGTTCACAGTTCATAATCCAGCCTATATGTACTAAGAAAAAAGACCACATCTAAAAAGAGATGCTCTGCTTTTAATCACTCTCATTTGTTTCAGAGTATTTAACAATACTGTTGTTAATACTTTGACTGGATTCACATCACAAATTCAATTGATAAAAATATGAGACTGCTATTCTGAGAGGTAAGATACAGAAGGTAGTGTCATATTTGGAGAAAGTAAGCTAAAATATATCTTGAAGGACAAAAAAGCTGGGAAGAGGGGGGACGGCAAAATAAAAACAATGAAAACAAAAACTAAACCTCCTTTTCTGCATGATTCCTAAAGGCCCCTTTCTAAAGAATGACCATGGACCTACCTATCCAGATAAGACAAGAAGACAAAACGTAGAATGAAAACCAGACATTTTCTGTAGTTTGAAGAATGACATTTTTGTTTTTCAGTATCAATTTTGCAGAGAACTATTATCTTAATAAATAATGGGAAAATTTACTTGCTGAAATTTTTCAGGCATAAGAGCAAAGTTGTACTACAGCATATTCAAAAGTAATCTGATCACCCTAATCTCTAACAGGAGCTGTGTGGCAAAAGCAGACTTGCACGCTGCTCACCAAAAATGGGATCTGTGCTTGTAATTCATGCTTGCTACAAAAGACAATATGTGCATATGTAATTCTGTCAACGTGTATGCAAGTGTGTGCAGGCAGATTAAAACTTCTGAGATTAACTGTGGAAGAGTGCTTAGAAATCTGCAGGTGCTCATTAACATTGTATGGATGTCTAGTGTTGTTACCCGCTGTATCACTACTCTTGAGCTTAACCGTGTAGTTGGTTGATTGCTGGTTAACTGTTATTAATAAGCCAAAAACCCACTGTGAACTTAATTTGATTTAAACCACATGGCTGAACAGTTTTTCCATGTGATAATCATAAGCAAATAAATCATGAAGAAGTAATAAATACGCTTTTTCTAGTACAAGAATACATTGAACGAAGCAACCAAAAGACAGATTACAGAAAAAAAAAAAGGTACTTTTTGTAACAATGCATAAAGCAACCTAAAAAGTGTTTGCCGAAACATGTACTGGATGTTAAATGGGTTAAAAATTGATTGAATGAAGTTTATGGAAGAAAAATGGGTATTAAATATGATAGGTACACCTGCTGAAACACAAATTATTGAATATACTGAATATATTTGGTATACTGAATGATCACACTTTTTTTTTTTTGCCAGGCATTCACCAGTGGTCACTGTGAAAAAAAGACATTGCACTAGACAGACCTTTGGTCTGAGCAGCTGTCTCTCTATTGAAGGATATTTTTTCTCTACTGAAAACTAGTTCAGGAGTACTTCTGCCATGTTGCTTAATATTGCACATAAATCTTTTTATATCCCATAATAAATACCAAGGACATACAGAATTTCCAGAAAACCACAAGTACCAAGCTTTATAAACCAGCATGAGTCAAACTCAATAAAATTCCACCCGTTACACTAATGGAGTTCCAAAGTCCCCCAAAGCCCAGAAACATTGGCACAGGGTACACTTTATGTAACAATTATGTGGAACCCCCTTAGAAGTGCTGGAGTAATGCTCTGCTTTTCCCCTACCACAGGAATGATCCACAAAACAATATAAAATCAGTTCTCAATTCAATTAATTTTCATCCAGACAACACAAAGAAGATGCCTGTCACTTGGCTTCCTTTACTCTCCTGGAGGCTTTATGCCATCAGTGCATATCAAGAGAAGAACAACAAATGGCCCCCATTTGCCTAAGGATTTAGATTAGAAGCTGCAGCCAAACAGTAAATGAAGAGCCATTCCTGTGTGGATTTGGAAATCACTTGTTTCAAAGTGCTCTCACTTTTTCCCCCTGCCCCCCCGAAAATATTTTTCACAAGAAATAACAGGTTGGTTTGGTTGGTTTTTTTTTCACAGCACAGTTTTCTTCCAGAGCTGAATTTTAGAAACACAAATAAGCAGATGTCATGTCCAAGAAACACAGTTCCAGGCCTATAAAAATACTTTTCAATATTACTCTAAGCTTTATCACAGCAACATCTTAATCTTTCCCAAGAAAGATAAAATAACACAGTTTAGCTCCACTTAGTTTTAAAAGCAAGTATTTTCACAGCAGTTCGGTGATAACTCAGCACTTCTGCAAAATAACTGAGGACTCTGTCATTAGAGAGCACTGCTTTCTTGGGCACTGCATTTGACTGTTAAAATATTCCATTCTATCAGAGTACGAGGACACTTACCCTTTTCCAAAGACTTACATATGCTGATGTCAAGATAATGTATTCCAGAAAATCCCAAAGCTTGAAACAAATTCCACAGGGACAAGTCACTGGACTAATTTTCTGCTAGTTAGGCACAGCATGTGTCTGAAAGTGATCTTACCTTCAAATGCAGTGTTATGGAAGGGGTGACTGAGGTAGGAAGGATCAACCTGGACTAGAACCTACTGGCAAACTATTAATCTACTACAGCCTTTTTAGAAAATAAATTCTGGAGACATTGTGTCAAAGATAGTTTAATGCCAGTGTCTTACAAAACAACATTAAAAATAATCCCAACATAGGTACTGATTCCATTAACATTTTTATTGAATGACATTTACTCATTTTGACTCTTTTATTCTCCTGTCCTCATTTTCAAATAGGACTTAAATAACTACTTTTGTAGAAAATGTCAATACTGAGATCTGTTTACAAAAATGTCTCAGACCACCCATTACCATAGTATTTAAGTAATAATGGTGTATGATGGGTCCCTATCCCCTCTTTTGCCAGTTTAACCACTAACAGTTGAAACAGTAATGCAATATCTTACAAAAATAATTTTCAAGATTTGTTTGTGTATTTTAAGGAAACTCCAGAAGTATTAACATACTTTCTCTTTTCCAAAAAGACTATCACACCACTTTTCTGTTCCATCTGGCTTCTCAGTTTATTACATTGTCCTCTGTTTGGTTATCACAGATGTGATCTTTAGGAAGGAAAAACACAAATATCCTTCAGTGAGGAGAAGTTTAGGCTGTGATCCTGAAAACATATATACGCTTCACACAGCCACAAAACACAGTCCCATCCCTGAGAAACTTAGAGTCAGATGACTAATGTGATGTAGTCTGTTGTATGCAGATATAGAATCTTTTGTGTATTGCACAGTGTAAAAAGTAAATAGTAGTTTACAGGTGTGTATTTTCAAACTCTTAATTATATCTAATCACTAAAAGTGACAGTCAAAAATGATCCCTAAACAGGTGCATTCTGACTCTAATGTAATCTAGGCCAGATTCTGAGACTTGGCTTTGTCTTTTTGCACATAATTGTGTGCTGACACCAAAATAAAAAGTCAATCTTAAGGTCTTTGAAAAAGCCCAGGTCATCATTTACCTGGTCCTGCCTTTCCATTTACCTCCCATCTCTTGACCCATGTAAACTTGCGAACTCATCCTTTCTTTAATTTCTGCTAGAGTACTCAAACATTTTACCATTTATATGAACAGAAGAAAAAGTAGGCGGAATGAATATGAAGTGATATCAAAATTTAAAAAAATGCATCTTCAACAATTTACTGACACTCCTTTTATAAAAGATATTAACATGTAAACTATTCTGCGACTAAAACTGATACATCACCGTAAGAAGTCTGATCCAAAGGCAATGGAATGCTCCATGTCACTGTTATAATGTATAATTCATGTTGTCAGCATGACATTATGATTTAAGAGGCAAACACATTTTGCCTCCTCAGCAATTATTTTTTAAATCATATGTGTTAAAGATTGTGTAAGTAACTGTATCAACCATTTATGATTTCTCTCAAAAAGCTTCCCAAATCTAAGCATTTTCTTCAGTCTTTTTTCAATAAATTGGCACTTAAAGTAGATGTATAATAATATATTTTGACTACTTTTTTTTTTTTTAAGTAAGAAAAATCAATATGCCATAGTTCCAAAATTTTCTGAATAGGCTTAAAATGCATCTCCAATAGTCTATGCTACTTTAGTGTTAAATAATGAGGTAGTACATTGTTCCAGAATTGTTCTGAATTATGTAAACCATTTGCTACATGCTGTTTGGACTTCATTTTTTGTTTAGAGCTGTTTGGTAAAGCACTGTTTTCTGTCTTCTCAGGCTTCCTGGTTTTGTTTTTCTTTTGTGGAAGCTTATTAGTATAATTTATTCTTTTACCTTTTGCCTTTTCCTCTTCCTCTCCTTCTTCCTCTTCTCCCTCATCCTCCTCTTCCTCTTCTCCCTCATCCTCCTCTCCCACATCCCCTTCCTCTTCTTGTTCCTCTTCTCCCTCTTCCCCTTCTTCTTCTCCTTCCCCTTCGTCTTCCTCTTCCTCTTTTTCCTCTTCTTCTGCTCCCTCTTCTCCCTCCTCTTCCACCCCCTCTTCTCCCTCTTCTTCCACTCCCTCTTCTCCCTCTTCCTCTTCTTCCATTCCCTCTTCTCCCTCTTCTTCTACTTCCTCTTCTCCCTCTTCTTCTTCCACCCCCTCTTCTCCTTCTTCCATTCCCTCTTCTTCTTCTTCTCCCATTCCCTCTTCTTCTTCTTCTCCCATTCCCTCTTCTCCCTCTTCTTCTTCCACCCCCTCTTCTCCCTCTTCTTCTTCCACCCCCCCTCCTTCCTCTTCTTCCATGCTTCCTTCTCCCTCATCTTCTTCAACTCCCCCTTCTCCCTCATCTTCTTCAGCTCCCCCTTCTCCCTCTGTTTCTTCAACTCCCCCTTCTCCCTCTGCTTCTTCCTCCCCTTCCTCTTCCTCATTTTCTTCCTCCCCTTCTGCTTTCTCATCTTCTTCTTCCCCTGTATCTTCTTCATTTTCCCACTCCCCATTTTCATTTTCTTCTCTATCCTCCCCTTCTGTTTCTGCCTCTGCTCCTTCCTCTTCCTTATCTCCTATTTTGTCTTCCACTTCATCCTCCCCTACCTCCTTAGTCTTCTTATTTGCATCTTTCTCTTCCTGTTCTTCAGATACTTCTTCCCTCCCTGCCAATGATTCTTCTAATTCCTCCCTCTCACCCTCTTTGTCTTTTTCATTCTCACTTTCTTCATTTTCATCTTCTTTTTCCTTTTCATCTTCTCCTTCCTCTTCTGCCTCTACCTCTTTTTCTTCCCCTGCCTCTCTGTCTTCATCTCCTTCCTCACTCTCACCTCTTCCCTCACTTTTAACCTGTTCTTCCTTTTCTTTTTCAGTGTCTTCCACTTTAGTATACTCCTCTTCCATATCCTCCTTTTCCCCTTCTCTCAGCATTTCTTCCTCTATCAACCTCCATTCCTCATCTCCTTGCTCTTTGCCACCTTCCTGATTAATCTGTTCCATTTCTTCTGCACCCTCGTTCTCACTGTCTTTTTCAGCCTGTGATTCCTCTCTTTCATTTTCTTCCTCATGTTTTTCCTCTTCATCTCCTTCTACTGAAACTTCATCTCCATCTTTTTCAACCTCACTCTCTTCTTCTTCCTCCCCTCGTTCATCTTCACTCTCAATTGTTTCATCTAGTTTTTCTTTTTCACTTTCACCCTTTTCACTGCCTTCATTCTCCTGCTCTTGATTAGATTCCTTCTCATTTTTAATTTCTAACTGTCTGCCTTCATCAGATTTAACTTCAGAGTTTGTTTCTTCCTCATTCAAGCTTTTTATATCAGTCTCTTCTACGTATTCTTTCTCATTGTTTGCAGCTTGTATCTCCTCAATCTCATTATCTTCTAAGTCCAAATCTTTCATGCCTTTTATTGTTTTAATGGCCTTCTGGACCTTCCTGCCTTCATAGTATTCATCATCTGTTTCCCTCCTTTTAAGTACAAATTTTGCAAGATCATTACTATTTTCCTCAGTTGAAGATGATGACAGAGATATTTGTTTCAAAAAATGAACGTTCTTTTTAAGCCCTCCCTGCTTTTCACTGTTTCCTTCTCCTCTGACACATATTCTTTCACATTTATCAGATTTTTCAACAACATCCTTTATTCTGTTTTCACTTTCTATTGCTTCTTGACTTCCTTGCTTTTTAACAGAACAGTATTTTTGTGCAACTAATGAATCAGTCTGGGGCTGATCTCTGGATGCAGGAGGAAGTACACTGATTTTTAGGAATTGCTTAGATTTAATAGCTTTTGACTTGTTATAGGAAGAATTTGTTCTTTCAGTCAGAATTTGCTTTTCAGTGGGAAGATCCTCTCTGACAAGTTCAGGATTTTCCACATACGCTTTTTCCCTTTTCACCAATCTGCGTTTGTCCCTACTGATTTGTTGAACACCACTTTTCAAAGTACCAACAGTTTGTGCATTCCCAGATTTACCTTCCATTGTACGTTTTTTGGCCACCGCCTTACCCACAAAGGCACTACTTTTTTCAAAGTCTTGCCCTGGTAACTCTGAAAGTGAAGACTGCTTTTGCAAAGAGCCAGAGTCTAATTTTGACCTTTCCTTTACTAAATCAGAATCTTTGTTTTTCAGCCCACCCTTACCATCTCTTTTCAGTTTCACATTTTTATTGTTCTTCTATTCCACATGAGAAGCAGAAAATTAAAAAGAAAGAAGGAAAGCATTAAAGACAAATGACAGCAAAAGAAAAAGGTCACAAAAACATCTGAACAAGAGAAGAAAATTTGTGTGAGCAAACTGAAAGATAGCATAGGAGGTACAGTATTTCACATGAAATGAATTTACAACTGCACAGACTAGAAGAATGTAACATTGTCTTGATGGTAAATGTACTGCTACACCTTTTTCACTATCCAGGTACTCAAACTGAATGCAATAAGAACTGTTCAGACAATATCATGTCCCATAAGCTAAAGTGCATGCAATGCATGAAGTTGTGTGAACAAAAGGAAAAAACTGCTTATACCTTCCTCCGCCTTTCCCCTTGGGAAATCTTTTGATATGCTCTCTTTTATGCTCTAATAAATTAGAAAATCTGCTTTCTACTTTCAATTTTATACTTATTTAACAAATTCTGCAAAATAATTTTAAAATATAAAATTACAATGAAATATACAAAATGCTAAAATGCTGAGATCACTTTAGAAGTGAAATAGGTAATACAAAGGCATTTTAATTTCATAATTAAAATCAGTATTATTGTTCCTTTATATATATTCTAGGGTGAATATCTGTAAATAAAATGTTTACATTGTGTCCCAGAAGTCAGTGAAAATATTCTAATATCAACAAAACCAGAAATATGTGTGTAATCAGCGTAAGTTATGAAGTGTATACGACTGATTTTCGCTCCTTAACTGATGAAGTATTATATACTCCCATCTTAGACTATGCTGAATACTCTCATGTGCCTGCACAAATTCTCTCTGGCTTCAGTCAGCTTCTTAGGATTTTACCTTGTGGATATTCAGAAAATTAGCAAGAGGAGGCCTACAAAATTTGCTCAGCTTTTTTAAAACTCAAAGCAAAACAATATAGTACAAGGATAATACAAGAATTACAGATCTTTTATACATCAGAATAAGTATCATATATATATGATTAGTTACAGTACCTTTTGTTTTTGGAGTGGTGATAATTTCAAGGACTGGTCACTAGGATTCAATTTCATTGCATGTGTCTGCAAAAAATAAGATCTATATTAAAAGAAATAAATATGACTAATAGGGAAAGCAGCATCAAAGCCCGATTCTACTAAACAGAGCTTCAGACAAATCTGTAAAATCACATAACTATTTCACTTCCACTCCCTCACTAAGCTTCATAACCAGCTTAGATGTCAACATCTAAACTGTCTCTAGAGGTTTAAATCTACCTCTCTTTTAGCCCACAAGTGCATTTTAGATGCACTGTCTACTCACAGTTAATTGTGGCTAAAAATATAATGCCTTACTCCCTCATCCTCACAACCTGCAATATAACATCCAGTTTGATACCACAGCCTTGACAGAACATTGTTAAAGAAATATTACATAGAATAAATTTTCATTGGAATCCAATCTCACTCTTCTACATAAGGCAAAAAAACAAAAGGCAAGGCATTGTAGAGTACTACTAGGTGTGCAAGTAGAACGAGATTTTGGTCATCCCTTCCCATACACTCCAAGTAACAAGGAAATGTTCTCTGCTGCTGTTTGATAACAGTTTATGGTTTAATAACAATACTTTTTTTCAACACAGTGAGGATAGACAGTTTGGGTTTTAACTCCCAAAAATTTGTGTCATCAATATGCTATTAAAGGTTTTTCCTCGTCACACCAATAAGATGTATGTTGCCACAGTTTAGAAAAAATGAAACTACATTGTAGCAGATTATTTCATTCAGATTCAAGAAGAGCAGTTCTTTTCTGTTTTGAGAAGTTTGCCTGACTTCTTTAAAATTTATTCATTCATTCTGAGTAATGTTTTAAAATTGTTTCACAATGCATTTAAAACCAAAAAAGGAGAAAAAAAGTCTAGCACATAAGGTGTGCAATAAATTATAAATAAATGTCTCGGTAAACTAATAAAGGCCACGTTGTACATTATATCTAAAACCAACTTTTTTTCTTGTAAATGAAAAGAAAGTTTTATAACTTAAATGGTATGCACTCATTGTTAAATTACTAAGTACAAACAAGTACTTATGTTAGGTACAAACAAGTAACAATTCCTGTGATACATGCAATCATTTCAGCGTAACTGACAACATACTCTGAGCCAGCACCACAGTGGGTTCCTCATTTGTTCCCATTCCATTGATGTTAAAAAAAAAAACAAAACGAAACAACAAACACAACATCTTTTCGGTGCAGTGCATTAAGACCAGGACATGTCCTATCTGCCAAGAGAACAAAATGTTTTGGAGAGGTGCACAACTGATAAGGTTAACATATTTTTTAAATAAAAGAAATATGTAGAAACATGCTTGGGAATCACAAAATAACCAAAATGTCTGCATTTGGGTCCTCCCTTTAATATGATCCACCTGTGCTAAATAAGCTCTTCTTGAAAGAGGAAAGGACAGATTCCTGCCTAATTTCCTGCAATTCTGTCTCGGAAATCCTCAAGAAAATGAAGGTCAGAGATAGAGATCACCACGTGGTATCCAATGTCATTCTTTTCTTTTCTTTCTGAGGTAAAGAGGAGGTAGGGGCTGAACTACCTGGGGCTGCTTCAATCTCTTATTACAACATCCTTTATTACAACTTTACTTGGAAAATAAAATCAAACTTTAGCATTGCGTAATGACAGTATGAAATGCATGCTCATTTAACAGTGTGTCAGTACCTCTTGGTGTCACATATAATGTTCTTGGCTAGCTATGAGTTCTGCACTAGAATTTGAAACATAATTTAGCTGCTTTATTCTTTCTCTGCATAAAAATGACTGAATCACAAATTCTTTAGTGGAATATATTACCATATTTAGGATGTCAGTTGTATCTCCAAGGTTTCTGTCATTATTTTCATTATCTGAATCTTCTTTTGCAGAGCGTTCACCGGGTTTATCCTTCTGATGATTCTCTTTCTTTACTTCAAGGTAAAATAGGGGGAAGTAAACAAATACCATAGGAACAAGCAATATGTAATCATCAGAACACCTCATTCTTGTAAAATAGAGTAAAATAGATTATCTCTATTTTACTGACCCAGGACTGAAGTCCTCAGATTCCCAATTCCTCCAGCTTAAGATATAGCAGAAACACTTCCAGTTTTCATCAGTATTAACATTAAAGGTAGCTCAGCAATGTGGCTTCAGTACACTGTAGACCTCCAACCATTTTTGCAGACTTTCAGAACATAAATATTACATGGGACAAAGTTTCTTTTGGATAATCTCAACTTTCATGTCTGTATTCTGCCAGACGCTACTGAGGCAAGACTGAATTTAAACCTTCTTTCAGGTTCAAACTGAGCATTTGTTTATGAATGATGAGAGCCAAATCACATAAACATACAAAACCAGCTGCAAGATATGGGGACACTTCACCTTTTTTATGGCGTCTGTGCTTCCTAGGTTCAGCTTTAGGAAGATCTGTTGCAGAAAACCAGAATGGACTAGTCTTGCTAGTCACAGGCAGTGAAGATTTTAAGAAGCTTACTCCTAGTGGAGGCAGAGTTTGTGCCATTCGACTAAACTGTTCTGGTGACTTTTCCTGCAGAAGATTAAAAAAAACTTACATTGAGAATAAGAGCAGAAGAATAAAATGTAAGCAACCTTTTAGTATTTTCTTTTAGTTGATGATACAGCATTGTAACTTTGTATGGGAAACAAACCAAATGTCTTAGATATTTAAATTATTTATAGTCCTAAAAAGTGGAGAAGTATTGTCCAGGCTTTGGCTGGGATACAGTTAATTTTCTCCCTAGTAGCTGGTGCAGTGCTGTGGTTTGGCTTTAGTTCTAGAACAATGCTGATAACATACCTATGTTTTAGTTGTTGCTAACTAGTGCTTACCCTGATCAGGGTAAGGACTTTTCAGTTTCCCATGTTCTGTCAGTGAGGAGGGGCACAATAGCCAGGAGGAAGCATGATAGATATATAGTGGGGGGATATTTTAGGTCTCTACACAATAACCTCAAGCAGCCTTAAAATACAGACAAAGGAGAAAAAGAACTTTGATTTTTACTTAAAATACTAGCATCTCAAATAATGTTGACGTATTTAATCCACAACATCAATATGGTTATACAAAATAAATGTGGCTTTGTGGTAGTTTTCAGACAGGTAAGTGAAATGATCCAACTCATGCTGTTCAATGAAATCACACACCAAATGTGTAGTTGAGAGAAAGGAGAAGCAACTACAGGGTCTTAGGATCATTTTAAACCAGTTTGGAAACTTTCTCCTTTGATATCTTATAAAACTATGGGCTCTTTTAATACATTCAAGGACTCAAAGGGAACAAAAAAAGAGTTTCTTGCTCTTTTTAAAAATATTTTTAACATGCTAGAATTTAAAAAATACAAAATCAATTTGAGTCTTTTTCATAGAAATAAACAAGCAAATCTGACCAATGCCTATCTTCTAACTGCATTCAATTTTGAGACTAGAATAGGTATTCATTCTTCTTTTTACACATTAAAATTATACACATAATTTAAGGACATACATTTATCTGCTGGGTATACATTGTGACTTTAAAAGTGACTTTATTTCCTAACATAACCATGGCAACTCTAAACAGCTCTGAAGTTACCCTCTCTCGACGTCGCATTCGTGCTGATGTTAGTTGTAAGGTATTTGTTAGTAGTAAATCTCCACTTATTTTAGAAATTGTAGCAGTCAAATAGCTTTCATGTAAATCTTCTAAGAGCACTTCTTCAAATCCTTTAGGTCTTGGAGCAGCAAAAACTAGCATGTGACAACCACCACATGCAACCTACAGCACCAAAAGAATTATCTGATTATTTCATTAGCAAGAATCAGTACAGGGACCACATTTTCTTACAATCATCTCTAGGGGTTTAGAGTGTAAGAAAAACATAGTGAAAATAAGAGACATTAAATAGTTTCAAATTTAGCTCCAAATCATGTTAGCAGCATAAAAGTACTTAATTATGCTTATTAATGACTAGAGGTCTATGTTCACTTCTTACTAAAATACAATATATTTGCATTGAACAGAACTCAAGATAGGTCTATCAAAAATTGACAGAGAAGAAAGCAAAGATATTTCAACTGTCAAGGGATTTGTGATAACTATCTTTATGCAAGTTATATGTGGGCAACACTGATAGCTTCACTGATACAAACCTAGGTATTTTATCCTAAATCCACAAAAAGTAAAGCAAGTCCTACACCCTCCAACAGACAAAGTATTATTACATAAAGACCAGAGGTTTCACTTTGAAAAAGTTTAAAACCCTCACCACTTCTGATAAAATGTCCTTAAACTCTTAAGTCCAGTAAACAAACAAAAGTGAGCAACAGAATTTTGCCCCAAATTTTGCTCAAACCTGAGTGATGTTTGCATTTCTGATGCTGGCAAGTCTGTGACATTGATTTCTTAAAATACCTCAAGAAATAGACTAAAATAATGCCCTTAAGAGAAGAGTATTTCTGCTTTCTCATCCCATTTGGATTCAGAAAAGCAACTCCTCCAATTTTCCTAAGGTTTAAAAATATCCCACTGTACAAATCATCTTTAAAATTGAAAAGTTGACACACTGGTGTTTTCAGAACAGATACGAGTTTCCCCCTACTGCCAACAATCCCAGAGCAATAAATATTTAATTTTATAGGCTGGCTCAGCTCTACAGACCAAGAACACTACCGAATAAACCCCTGAAAAGCAGTTTAGATGTGTAGTCCAAGCCAAATAGATTCTAAACTAAATGAAGAGTGTGGTGAGAAAATATGATTTCTTTTTCATTTAAATTTGTGTTGTCTACTAATTAAATGTCATGGAAATAAATATTTCTATAATGAGATTTCAACTGTCATTAATAACGTTTCATAAAAATATAAATGTTTTGATGTCTGAGAAGCATGAACAGGAGTTTTACCAAAAGGACTGTGAACTTCAAGAAATTATAACACAGAGTGGGGTCAAACTGATTTGTAAAATTCTCTTCTCCAAGGCCTAACTTGCCGTGTCGCCCATCTCCAAAAGTAAACATGAGGCCATTCTCTGTATTGGAGGAAAAAAAAGGGGGTCTTATCAACAACAAAGATTTAAAATAAAATTAGGATGAAAGCATCACAAACAAAATAACAGGCCATGCAAGTAAGGAATGTTTTTCTTCCAAAAGCAAACACTGAACAATTATTTTTGGATTTTCAACAGATGAATATGACCAAAAAAATATACAAGTCTTCAGGCAAAGTACTGCCTGAGAGTTAGTCTAGATAATTTGTAAAACAAATCCAACAACAAAACAATAAGACTGAAACTGTATAGATACTATATAGAAAAAAAATACTTATTAGCAAGGCATAATAATGAGATTATAATCCCCCAGGAGATACTGTATACAGAGTTATGCATGGAATGGCTGTGGATCTGGTTTTCTCACCTGTTCACTTGACTTCTTGAGCTAGTAAGTTTGTATATGTCTTTTTCTACTGCTCATTTATAAATAAAGCTTTTACAGTGCAAGAGAGTGTCACTGGAAGTGCATTTCAGATTTTTTCGTTTACATACCTGCTATTACAGCAGTATGATTTTCCCCACATGTAATGTTACATATTTTATACCTCCTCAAGTGTTTCACAGACTTCGGTACTGAAGTTTCAAAAATAAAAGTACCATGTCCCAGCTGCCCATGTTGTCCAAGTCCAAAAGTATATACATTTGTCTCTGAAAATATACAGCAAAGGTTAACAATAAATATGCTGGCATATATATTATAACCTGCTTTCTATTACCCAAATGGAAGTCAAATTACATCACCATCAAAAAAGCAATGTTTTATTAATTAAAAAAATGTACCAACTAATCCAATACATTTATCAATCAAAAATAGAATGCAACAAAATAAAAACCAGGAAATTAGGTATTAAAATAAATACAGAAAAGAATCTTGAATTGTTCAATATGCAATATATTTTCTAACATACCTGCAAAATAATCCACTTATCACATGTACACAAAATATTAGCTAACAAAAAATTTTAGGGATTCTATGTAATGCAATTAATTCAAGACCATAGTGTTTATATATATGAGCACTTCCAAGTACAGTAATCTCATCCTAATTTCTGGTTACATACATCTAACACTGACGCTAAATTTAATAGGCTAGATCTCTTTAAACTGATATTAATTTGTGCATATGGATTGGAACAATAACAATTATTTTCAGTGTTCTGATCAGCTAGCAAATCAGCCCTGCACTAAATACAGAGAACACTATAATTGTCTTATCTTGTGACAGAATAATCACCTTTCCATATTTTTTTTCTGTTTAATGGACTGTTTGTGCCAGGAAAGAAAAAGAACTTCTTCAAAGCAATAAAGATCCCTGCTGTGTCCATTTCTGGCACTGCATCACAACAGGGGAGGCTGTAAAGCCTGGAAATCTTGATGAGGTCATGCTTGAAAAGAGAAATTCAGACACTAAGATTTTTTGGGAAAAGGAGAAGTTTTTTCCTAGAATTGCATTTCCTGCCCCTTTTTTTTCTGCAGGTAGGCAACAAGAAAAGCTGGAGAAGCACTACTTAAGGTACTTGAAAAATTATTATTAAAACCTGAGAAAAATTGGGAAGAACAAAAAATATTCCAATTCAAGCAAAAAGAACTGAGACCTGGGAGCAATGTATTGTTACATCATTGTTATGAACATAGTGCACAGCATGCCTGCTCCTGCTGCACAGATGCCACCAGGTCAAAAATCTCACCATGTACAAAAGCAAGAGAGGAATGGCCATTCACAGTGGAATGTGTGGAACAATTGGCAGAGAATCTGCTTTTTAAGGACTTCTTTATGTCAAGGAAACAAGGCCACTGGAATAGCAAAGTAAGTTTCAGTGCCACAAAAGTAATTTATATCGTGTGACCAAATTCTCAGAGCAGCCACAGAGTGGAGAAAAATAAAAAAACAAATTATGTTACCATTCCCTCAAACTAATCCTTCAGCACTGTCAGGGAAAGGGAAAGCAGAGAACAGACCAGACTGCATATACCATTACACACTTACTAAACTCTGATTTCAAAGGAACTATGATGAAATATTGTAACAGTAGATATGGAAATATTCCTTCTAGGAAAGAGTTTGCCTTTTCTGCCCCCTTTAAGTTGTTCCATATTAACGTGCTATGAATTTACACCATAAAAAAAAAAACCCAATGGTCTCACACAAAAGTGATGGCAGGTGATTTTTTTCAACTAAATGCAATAGTAAAGCTCCCTCTGCTGGAAATTTCGGTGCTTTCAGTGCAAGAAAGCAACACCTCAGGATCTTAGTAAAAGAAGAAATTTTATGTAACATTTAGACTTCTGCATAAGACTCAAGAAACTACACCTTAAAGACAGGAGCTTTCTTTAAGCAAAAAAAAAAAGTCTCATGTTCATTTTAGTAAATTGCTTTCTCAGGATGGCAGATCCCTTAAATTCTGTTTGGAGTACTCTGTTTAAGATTTCTATGGAAACTGGCCATTTTCAAACTGTATGGCTTTACCTGATTTACATAATTATTTTGAGTGAAGTTGGGTTGGTTTTTTTTCCCACATTACCTGTAGTCCTACCTTGAAACAATGCCTTCTAAACTTGTGTTTAGAGTGAGCTGTTCTCAAATGCTAACTTGAAAAGTACAGGAAACTATTTTCTTTCCTCTGTTTCTACTGACAATGAGAATAGGCCAACCCAAAATCATGTTAGAGAGGCACCTAAATTTTGCTCCTCTTGAATTTGCTTATTGGTCAGTCATCAAGGCACAAGAAGACAAAAACTTTGCACATTTCTTAAATGATTCACCTCTGTGTGAAGAAGTGAGGCCAAACTTCAGTAATCATCTCATTTATCAGAAATTACATATTTCCTCCAACTTGTCTTTATAAAAGCCTAAGAAGAGAAGTCTATGGCAAAGCAGTCTTACAGACTAGGTGATAAAATGATTTTCCTCAGTCTCCCCTTGCCCTGCCTCTGCTGTCTGCTTGGCTTTGTGGTAAGCCAATTCAGCAAGCCAGGTTTGGGGGGCAGGGGCGGGTTGCCATAGGAAACTATGGAACGTTCAAGGAGGCAGTGCCACAGTGGTACAAGGGGAGAGGAAAGACTTCGGCCACATCAGCACAAGGGAAGCAGCACTGCCTCCAATGCATCACAAGGAAGGCTCAGCTGTATTAACAGCATCTAGAAGAAAAAGCAGAAGTCCCATGTTAGCCTCTAGGCAGGAACTGCTATCTCCACAGCATGAGAAGGACCCTTGAAGAACAGAACAATGGTTCAGAGCTTGTACAGAAGCCAATAGCTTCATAGTTCCAAGTGACCTCCAGCACTTGAGTGCTAGGACTGCTTCTCCTTCCTACATTTTCTTTTTTGGAAGAACAGGGGTATTTCCCTCTAACTGTATATCTTCCACCTTTGCAGGTATCTTCTGAAGTACTTAACAGTTTTTTAATCTCCATGAATGTTTTTTTATGCTGCCAATGGGCTATTCACTCTTACAATAGTTTTATTTTTAAACAGCTGAAAAATGTTACTGTAAAAATCAGTTGTCAACATAATACTCTGTTTTACCAGAGTTAGTAATTGGATTTGGGGATTTCAGTATAAATAGTATACAGACTTAAGAATGGTTTGAAAAACCTAGATAATCCTATACGGTTTGAACAGTCAGTTCTGTCATGAAAAGGTAGAGATTTTTCATCCTTTTCATCCTCTTTCAAAAGGGTATCTTGACTTTTTAAAAGACATTGAGAAAGAAGATGAAAAATCCAACATTTTACATACTAACACACAAATGTGCTGTATTGGTATGTCAAAAGATTTATTCTTGAAGGACTGCTTCACTTTTTCGTTTGAAGAGATATCTCTGCTTTCCCTCCTTTCAAAAGATAAAAGGACATAATATATCCTTTTGTAGACAGGCTTATTCCCAGAGGATCTGCCATCATCTGAAAAAACCTTCAAGATATTAAGCCCACTCCCAGTCATCTGCTGCATCTTCTGAAATTTCTAGATTCACAAATTATTATTATTCTACCTTCTAAAAAGCTTTATTGAAAAAGTTTGCAAACTGAGATTGCTGCTCTGTCACATTTCTTTTGAAAGTGACAATACCAACAGCTTCCACTTTCAGTAGGAAGCACTTGCAAAGGTTGCGGGAGGTGGATGCATTTTCTTTTCAGTCTCTGAGAGAAGTCACCTGGGATGAAGATATGATCTTCTTGAACTGGCTGATAGACTGTCCTGAAATGAATGTTTGTGCAGCTACAGTGAGAGAAAGCTTTTGTACAATAGGAAATTTAAATGTAATTCTGCTTATTATTTAGGAAAAACTGCAAATACTAAAGGCAGAAGGACAAATAAGACTTGTAAAGAAGATGGTTTCCGATACCATATTCAACATTTTAAAAACCTTGTATCTTTAGAAAGGTTTTTTCCAAATCTTTACTCTCAACAGTTTAATTTTTTGTTCTCTCTGAAAAAAGATTGAGTTTCCCATTTTGGAGTCTCAGAAAAAAGAAAAAAATAATAATTTTAATACATACTTTCTACCATTTATTCTGACACTTGCTGGAGAGATTCCAAACAGTAGCTTGATTTAATAAACCAAATGGTCAGTGGTTCTGACCATACAAAATTGCCAATAGCATAGATAAGACAGCCATAAAAGAGAAGTCAAATGAAGTGCTTTGGAATAGACTAATTATGTATGAGAGTCAGGAAGAAACTTGCCTCACACACAGTAAGATAACTGCATTATGCTTTCTTCTAATTCGATAAACCCTAAGTAGAACTGATGACAAGAAATGAGCCAAGATGTGCAACAGTTTCTCCATATGACATTTTCCCCTAACCTATTCTAGTGCTAAATAAGATAGATAAAATAGGGGAATATACAGTAGTCAGACACTCACTTCTAATTTTTTTAAATAAAAGTGACACATCCTGAAAAAACTGAAAGACCCTGAAAAAAATGAAAGCCGCATCTCTATATACCACGTTACTAAAGCCAAACAGCACCCATTTTCATGGAAGATGATACAAAAGTTGAGAATTTTTTCAAAATTGCACTACTTTCCTAATTTAGGAAAATGAGCTTAAAAGAGACATAAATATTTCTGCTCCTCTCTAAAGCTATATTCTCTCAGCAGAATTCTGAGTTTGTGGTCACATCATTTAATCTCAAGATGCAATATACACTTCAGTACTGATTTCAAGTTAAGTTTCTGGTGCAAAGCCTGTAATACACATATGCTACATTCACTTTTTCAGTTATTACAGTGTCCAAATCTATATTTTTTCCGAAGTTTTTTCCCAAAATTTTGAGTCAGAAGATTTTCTGTATGGTAACATTCCTGACGAAGTATCTTTGACTTGAGGCAGTATTTCCATTTTCTGTTCAAAGTATCTTAGGCAGAAGTTCACAGCTGTAGCCTATTTAATAATGGCTGAATCACACTAAAAAACACATTTATCCGACCTTTTACTCTTATCACAACAACTACTAATCTAGGAAAATGTATGTTGTTGGAGGATATTGTTTTCCTCTTCTCTGGACTCAACTGGATCTTCCGGCACTCAATGCTTTGATCATCAACTACCAGTTAAACCAGCACTGAACTTGTCTTCTATTACGGATCCATTTCCATAGACGAGCAAACCTTACACACTAAGACACTGACTTACTATGTTTCTTTCTTCACTGTATTTGTTTCTTGACATTTATATTTTGCCTTTTTGTTTTAGCTATTGTACATTTTTCACTATAATAATGATGTCATCCAGGTCTACATCTTCATACTAAATCTCTGCAAGTCATTTGTTATAATGACATTTTATCTCAAGAAAACACATTAAAACAAAAAATCTCTTAGTTGGCTGCAGATTTATGGTTAATAAAATAATCAACAATTATAATCAAATTATTTCTGCAGAATTTCACTTTATAACCCATGAAATAATGCTATGCTTCATACATTTTCTGGACCCAAATTTATGATTTTTTTTCCTAATAATGATAATGCGATTTTATATAAAGAAGTTCATTTTATGACACAGAATACTGCCAGGGTATGACTGTATATTGGTGGAAGAGAGACAAACGCATTGAAATGTAGACAAATGTTTTCATTATTTTCTAGATTGGCTACTGTAGTTTTCTCAAAGGAGTTTTAACCAACACAGTCTTGCAACTTGAGTCATTGTTACACATAAACTTTCCCAGCACATCACTTCCACCTTTACTCTCTCCAGTAGCTTACAGTACAATACCACATCATATTACCTACAGTCTCCCTCATTTGGATCTTCAGTTTATATTTTAGAAATATTGGTTACATTACCTTGAAGGCACATCACCAAATTGCCAAAAGATGACTATTTAGCATTTTCAAAATACAGATTTGAGGACTGGTATCTATACATTCTACTTGTTTTTATAGCTTTTGCGTTTTGGTAGGAGACTAATTACACACATATCATACAGCTGTGGAATTCATTACAAGCCAAAGCCAAATTTCCCTTTCCTGCTTCTATACTACTGTAGCTCAGGACAGAATTTGTGGAAATAAATAGCTATCAATACTCCGCATATCTCTTTGAAAAGTTAAGTTTCCCATTGACACACAACCATTTACTAGTACAGTAATATACAAACTCTTCCAATAACTATACATACAACCCTGTGAACTAATATGCAACAGTAGTATTTAAATACCTATATACAAGTTATAAAAATCATCAATGTCTATATCTGTCCTAGTTTTGCATGCATGCTAAAGATTCTGCTCAAGTCATGGGTAAATTCTGTATCATGAGATAACTTAATCCATTTAGGAATCTAGCTGATTGTGTATCTCCAACACTATCAACTATTTGATAAGTGGCTTCCTAAATAGTCAAGGTCATTAAAATTTGCTAGAGAATGTAAGCTTTCCTCTAAAAATTTCCTCTTCAGACCAATACCACTTTCAAACTCCCTAGAGGAAAGAAACATCAATCATCCTTGCTGCACTAGGAGATGGTGGTTTGTTACAATTCCAGCAACTCAGACACTGTAAAGTATCTCTTAAAATGCAATTTATTGGAGGTAAAAATATAAAGAAAAAGAAAATGTTATCAATAAACTTATATCCATTCAGATGTTGGGAATCCTGAGCTGTGTGCAACTGAACAGGCCTCCAGCCATGCACAGATCCCACCCATGGAACGTTACTCCATTTTGGTCATCTGAGCTCTTACAGTATTTTCTTACAAGCAGAAAAGCTCTACTCATCACTTATACTGTCAAATAAAAAGAACTTTCACATGGGAACTTGCTGCTGAAATTTTAGATAAAGGCAAGGCCCCACAAGTAGTCCTTGCTGCTACCTACTTGGCACTGTACTGCTTGGTAGAGTAAGGTCCTCTGTTACAATAAGCTGGCTAAGTTTGTATAGTAGCCAAGGGATATGCGCAACACAGGCATGAACATCAAACTACATGTGCAGCACAGCACAGGCCTGCACTTAGGTTAACTGTTACATGGATTTCTACCTCCTTGATGTACAGTGGTCTTCCAGTTAGGATCACTTAACATTTAAGATCACATGTTACATTTCAGTGGGATTTAAATTCTTCTAAGTGAATTGAGTTTACTGATTAAGTTACAGTACTGTAAAAAAAGACAGTTAAATTGCATACCTGTCAGCACCACAGTATGTTCTCCACCACAAGCAACCTTATTAACCTTTTCCACAATTCCCATTACAGGCTGTGGGACTCTATTGCTCTTCAGCTGTTCAGGCATCAATCCCAGTTTCCCATTCTCTGGTTCTCCAAAAGTATACAACTCACCATCTCCTGTGAAAATATAAAACAGAGCAGGGTTTCCAGCATGGACTCAGAAGCAGGGATGCAAAAGACTGCTGCAGATACACATCAGTATGATAGAGAAGTATATGAGCATTAAGGGATAATTGAACATTACTTGTATAATTTCCAAACAGCTGTGCAAAGCAGTCTGCTTTGATGAGACAAGGGGCTAAATTTTAGCCCCATCCAAGATGAGAACCACAATAGCTAGCCTGCAAGCAATCTAGTCTGCTACATAAGTCTGAATTACTATTCAGGACAGCATTGTATATATCCTTCTACCATAGTTAAAACTGGAACGTGTAAAATGTACTTTTATCCTGGGTTCAGCAGTAGCAGTCATTTTTCTCCTTAGTAGCTGGTGCAGTGCTGTGGTTTTGACTCTCAGCCTGAGAACAACATTGATCACACCGATGTTTTTAGTTGCTGCTCAGTACTGTTTACTCTGACCAAGGACTTCGTGAGTCTCATGCTCTGAGAGGGGGGAGGGGAAGCCAGGAGCAAGTAGAGACAGGATAACTTACCCAAACTAGCCAAAGAGGTATTCCATACTACAGCACGTCATGCCCACTATATAAACTGGGGGCAGTTACCTGGAAGGGTTAGATCACTGCTCGGTCGGGCTGGGTATCGATTAGCAGGTGGTGAGTGTTTGTATCCTCTTCCCTTGTTATTCCCTGTATCACTGTTATTATTGGTGGTAGCAGTAGTGATTTGTGTTATACCTTAGTCACTGGACTGTTCTTATCTCAACCTGTGGGAGTTACATTCTGGGAGTGGGGGAAGGAAGCTGTGTGGTTCTGTGTTGCCAGCTCGGCTTAAACCACGGCAGTTCTTCCTGGCACCCAACATGGGGCATGAAGGGTTGACATAATGACATATCTGACTGGAGTGTGTCTAATCATATTTGTGATAAGCATTTATTGTTTTGGATTAATAGTCACTCATCACAATGCTGATTTATTGGCTCTCAAAGTTGTTGCTCTTGATCTCGGAGTTTCATCATGTTGTACCATTGCTCTATTTACAATTTATCTACATTTATCTATATGTTTTACATTTATCTAAATTTCTGATTTTCTGTCCTAAGGGTTCCCCAACTATTCTAATAGGTGAGAATGAGGGTTACATAGACAACATTTCCTTATTCCCAGGAAAGCTTCAATAGCCAAGTGTTTTCCACTCCTGAAAAAGATTATCTGTGGGGTAGTGTCCTCATAGCAAATGGTGGCCCACAATTTGAAGTTGCAATTAATTACCAAAATAATCATCATACACTACTATGTAAGAAAAAATCTGGGGTTTAATCCCAGTTGGATATAAGAAAGCACAAGGACAAATAAAACTCTCCCGTGGAGCTAGTCCAAGATAAAGGAAGGTTTAAACTAGTGTAGGAGCTGCCTGCTAAAGCAAATCCTAAAAGATAGCTACCATTACATAATCAATGTAGTAACAAACCCCAGGCACACACTCCATTATTATTTTTGGAAACATGCAGATTTGTACTTCAGTTTACTTTCAGAAGGATACATTGAGCGTTCACATATTTACTTTTACAGCACTTACAGGCATTACTACCACATGATGCACAAGTATCTGAGAGAATCAAAGACTGAGAACCTAACTTCAATGGCATAATATTTATTTGACAAGCTTATAAGACTTAAGACATTTATCCATTGCCCCAGACAATTTTACATGGTTTCTGTATTTTCCAAGCTCACTTCTGCCTCTCACAATGGCACAGTCTTCAAGTACCATGCCCCTGGCCACTCAGGTTAGCAACTGAACTTATTTTTTCTACTGAGTACCTTAACTGCACAGAGAGGCTATCAGGAAATGACAGTAATACAGTCTTACTATGTCAAGCTTCCTGCAGGGTTTCACAGGGCTTGCGCTATTAAAAGTAGCCACCCACAATCTATTCACAGAACTACCTTCTCTTCAGCAACACAATGAAACAGGATAGCAGCTGTATCTCCCAACTATCATCATCAGAGATGTAACCTCATCCTGCCAGCTCTTTATTCTTTGCTATCATTTTGACATTCTCTTTCCTGCACACAAAAACTATCCCAATAAGAACACTTCCTTTACCTGCACGTATCTGTGCAGAAATACCATTTTTGTATTCTTCGACACTTCTAAGAGGTGCTTGCAGTCATTTCAACCTGTCTGTATTTTTTAAGAAATGGCAAATCACCTCAGCTGCAGAAAATTTCATTTCATTCCTAAACTATGGACTGTGCTTAGGTTTCTCTGTTCAGTTTGATTTTCTTTTTCAATTCTGATCTTTATTCTTACACCTCTGTACAGAAATATTCTGAAAAGGCTGATACTATGCAGTTATTTGCAGCACCACCTATTTTCTGTTCTAAAACCGTAACTCAATGAACAACAAAAAAATCAAGTCTATGTGAGGTTTTCTGTAGCCAAAATATTCTATTGACAAAAGGATATTCTATTTGGGATTCTAAGTGAAGAGAAAGAAAAATAAAATAAAACACAAGAATCCTGCTTTTTCATAAGGTAAATGTTGGTTTAACACCTTGGATCTGCCACATATTTCTAGAAACAAGCTGATAACCCCCCCCCAAACACTTGGGAGTTAACTACTTGTGCAGTTCTCTTTAGAGAGACCAGCACTTGTTTTTAAATAATACTGCACTGCAAATATTCATCCAATCACAATCTAATTAATAGGATTAGAAATCCAAATGGCCAAGCTTCCATTGATTTCCCAAACTAATCAAGTTTATTACATTTTTTCAACTTAATAATCCAGCTAACAAAGAAAAATGTATTTATTAAAGCAATGTTTAAATACATTCTGCATCTCTTTAAAGCAAATAGTAGTCTAAAACCTACAAAAAATTGGTTATCAAGCATAAGAAGAATCCAATCAAACCCAGGTAAATTTTGAGTACAGCATGTGGGCAGCACATCTGTATTTTAAAGACTTGATGTACTGTGTGCAGTACATCTGCATTTTAAGGATGTTCTGTTCACCATGGAACCTGGTTATGTCATTTTCTCCTCCATATGGGTCATATGGGTCTCAGGTGCTGAACTTTCCTAGTTTTCCTAGGCACATTTTCTGTAGCACTAAACTTTAGGACACAAGAGCACACCAACAAAATGGGCAAAAGAATGGGAAACTATCTTGCCCCTCAAAGGCAAATGTGCATACTGCACATGATACAAGATATGAGACCTGACTAGTGGCAGATACAGGCAGCATTCTATGATCCCTTGAATAAATGAAGAGATTAAAATAAAAAAATAAAATTAAAAAAAAATAAAATGTTGGTTCAAGACCAAATTGGTTGACACCATCTCAAACACTGAAATTCTGAGCATGGAAGCATTTGTGAATGGATGATCTTTAAAAATGGCCCTTAAAAATAATGACAAAATACATTAAGAAAGGGAATTCAAAGCTCTGTGAAAAGACATCTTCTTAATGAGAATCTATCTTGATTTTGTCCTTGCTTACAAGGACAGTAACAGTTCAGGCAGGGGGAGCACCAGAATAGGTCTAATATACTCAACTCCTTTCTGGCTCCATGAATCTAATTCTGCTGTAGACATCAGGGCAGCGGTTAGGTACATTGGCTTCTCCTGCTCTCCATCTCTTCCAGTGGACAAATGAGCTATATAGTTTGCCAAGCTTAATGATTTCTGAAAAACTCCTCTGGAGTGAGTGTGGCCAAGACTAGCCAGGTACAGCTCTGTACGTGGACGCAAAATCCTTGCTACATTCTTTCAGCTCTTTCTTTCTCTGTTGCACTGCACTAGCTACTAAGAAGGAAAAAAAGAGCTGTTACAGCTGAACCCAGGAGGAAGACACACCTCTGACATAGCCACCTAAGGTCCCCTGCCTGCAAAAAGAAAGGAAACAGATGCTGGGAAAAAATCCTAAAGAGGGCTGAAAACAATAAACTAAAAACTTCTTTTCAGTGGAATTGAAATGCTAAGTGGAAGAAAAGAATTCAGTGGGAGAATGCTAAGCGAGAAGAAAAGGAGCAATCACCTTTCGAACATGGAGTAACGCTACCAGCTTCCTATTTTGCATATGGAAATGACAAGCCATTGCCTTTGCTTGTGCCTAGTCTAATTTCAGAAGTGTTTTCTATTTAAAATAATTCAGGATATATTCTGATCTTCTACCACTGCTTTTGGCATCAGTGGGGTTCACATGTACATGGTAGAATACAGGTGACTGATATGTTTGGTAGCTGAATTACCATCTGCAAAGAAGGCATTCTAAAAAGCAAAAGTAAGAAAAGTGACAAGTCATCCTTTTGGAACTACCAGATAAGAGACACTGCACTTGGCTTTATAGTAGTTAAACACCTATAGTAGTTAAAAATGCCTACTAAAATATCTTTTTTAAGAAAAAAAAAAAAAAAGCTTGAATCCATGCTTTAACACTTTTTTCTCAATAGTTTCTTATTAATGAATATGCTGCCCTAGAGAGGGCACTCTGTGACCACACTATGTATTCTAGTACCCTCATTAGCTACCTTTCAGTTTCAACCCAGAAATGTCTGTAACCATAACAGTTTGCTTAGCCAGTATACAGCCTCTGTCAAACATAAATATATTAAGAAAGGGAACCATATGGTGCCACGATAATCAGTCCAGCCTGACAACATGTATCAAATCCTACATCCTGCCACTGTTTTTTATTCTTAAAGATAGTGAGAGTTGAGCTTGTTCATCCCAGAGAAGAGAAAACCCCAAGGGACACCTTAGGGCCACCTTCCAGTACCTAAAGGGGGCTTCCAAGAAAGCTGAAGAGGGACTTTTTACAAGGACATAGGGGAATGGCTTTAAACTGAGAAAGGGTAGATTTAGATTAGTTATTAGGAAGAAATTTTTCACTGTGAGGGTGCTGAGGCACTGGCACAGGTTGCCCAGAGAAGCTGTGGCTGCCCCATCCCTGGCAGTGTTCTAGGCCAGGTTGGATGGGGCTTTGAGCAACCTGGTCTCGTGGGAGGTGCTCCTCCCCGTGGCAGGGGGGGTTGGAACTAGATGAACTTTAAGGTCCCTTCCAAATCAAACCATACAGAAATACAGAATCACTTTATTTTCCAGATATTTCCTCCAAATTTTCTACTAAAAATAATGCTAATCACTCTAAATTCTAGTATTTTGCTATATGTAGTATTTGCCATATCTTACATCTTGCTATATCTAGCAAAACAAAACAATACCATAAAAATACATGGAAAATTACTAGTGCCAGGAAAACTTTTAAACATACTTCAAGGAATAATTCAGCAACTTATGGCAATTTGGAGGAAAAAACCCTATCCATGTAATATGAATATTCTGATACTTCACAGTTACCTAGTTTGCTATGTTCTACCACCCCAACAAGAAGAGACAGAATACTAAGAATGTGAAACATTATTCTGAGTCAGTCTAGCAAGTCCTACAGGCAAGTGTTTTCCATAAGTGAAAAAGGAATCCTAATAATTCTAAGAGAATCACCTTTTTTAAATAAAAATCTTCTAACAGCATAGTGCCTTGACTTCCTTCCTAACTAGGCTGTAAGGACATTAAGGTAACTATATTTGTTCTTAAACATACTGCAGAACTTCAAAATTCATCATTTAACGATTAACTTCACAGCTAAAATAATGTTTAACTACAGTACATGTATATTAAATGCACAAGATTTGTTCTTAAACGCTGTCTGGATATACACTGACACGAGTGCAACAGAAGATCAATTCAGTAAAAGTACCTGGATGTCCAGCACTAAATTGCTATGGCAGTTCTATATAGTATGTTTCTATGGTAATTTCTATGGTATCAGTCAAATAAAACTGTCAGCAAGGGCCCAAAGGAAAATAATAAATAAAAAAATATCCTTTCCCCCCAAAGAGGCCATCTGTGTGTCAGTAATGTCAGCAAGATAGACTGAAGCCAATTCTGTGCAGGATTTGCAGATACTAAAGCTGAAAATCAAGGTTTTCCATCCCACACCTAGGCTTGTTTAAACAGTAACAGTTCAACAAGTCACCATTTTCACAGGTGATAACCACTTCATCTTCCTATTAATATCTTAAGAGGCTCCACTTTTCTTTCCCAGCGGCTACTCTAATCCTTTTTTCTCATCCCTTTCCATTAAAGGTTTCTACTTCCTTAAAGCACTTGGCACACACCATTCTCTCCTTCCTCTTAAGACACTTGTCCTCAACCTTTCTTCTAATGACAGCTTTTGTCACATCCTACTGCAGTCTCATCAGAGCTTTGGCTTTTGGATCTAGAGCAAAAATACAAACCTTCTTACTATATCACTGAAGTAAGGATATCCCCCACTTTTGTCCCACATTTATTTCAAATTCAGGAAGTTGCAGATTTCATAATAGCTCCTGATCAAACAAAGGCACCTCATTCATTTACTGTAATAAAACATCTGCAACAAAAGTTGCACACTCCTAGCATAACAATATTTGTCCACCATAGGAAGTTCTCATTCTGTTAACAGCATATTCTCGAAGAGGTATATAGGTATCATGTGGAAAAATAACATTTCTCAAGTAACCTGAGAAAAGTACCTGATGGAACAGTTCCTGCGTAACCGTTAAAAGCTTTACAATCAAAACTACTGGTACTTTAAAATCTTTAATTACTCTGAGGGGACTAAACTGTAAAGCTTAATAATATAAATCTATAAAATTCATGGCTGCTCATATGTAATACCACCAATAGTGGCTAATAAATTCACCCATAAATGCATTATTAAAAAATTAGTGGCATTATCACTTTTGAAACCAAGAGAGACGGGAAGAGAGAGGTGGAAAGCAATGAAAAGATATGTTGGTTTGGGCATACCAGTTTATTGTCACATGTGCCTCTCCTCAGATTGTACACTGCCTGTTTAACTGACTTAAAAACTTAAAATTTAAGACATAACATCAAACTTTGACAATAATCTTCAACTGCTAGCAAATAAGATCAATTTTTCCTCAAAGCATAGTAAGTGCATTCAATATTTACATTTCTAGAGAAAATGAAAACGATTATTTGATCATGACAGAAGAAAGAATCTCAAAAAAAGATGGACTATTGAAACCACAGCATTAATCCATATTTGCTATAACCTTCACAAAAATAAATTGTGGTAAGATAGCTATTCTTTTTCATATACTTTCATACAGTGATGTGCAAATGCAGAAAATTAACTGCATTTTCTTTCTCACAGTACTGTTAATTCAAAAATAACTACAGAATCATAAAATTGGGTTTGAAAGAACCTTAATATCATCTAATTTCAACCCCCATAATAATAAACAAATATAGAATAAAAAATAATAAATATATAATATATTACATACAAGTTACTAAATAAATCAATGAGGACCACATTTTAGAGAACCTGTCTGTGATACAAAACTATATAGATGACTTTCTGCCACATTGCACTGTTAAACAACTATGGTGCGTATAGTTTCAAAAGTACAGAATGCTTAATTAGCTACCTTTACAAAGACAACAATTCAAGAACCACTGACTTCTCTCCACTACCCACTATTCCCATTCTCTTACCTGTTATCAAGGCAGAGTGATAATATCCACAGGATACAGAGGAAACAGGTTTTCCAACATCCACTTGACATGGGATGCTGACACAGGCTTCATCAGCCAAGCCAATCTGACCTTCTGAGTTGTCACCCCACACAAAAAGCTGCCCATCCTCTAAAATGAAGAGACAGATAGTTAACAGATTTTAAACCCAAATTAATAAAGAGTTAATATACCCATTTAAGAACATTTCATAAACATGGTATTAGCATGATCATTCTAAATGTTATGTCCTAAGGGACATAAATGGTATTTAGCACAAGGCGACAAAACAGTCTGAAGTAAGAGGGTATCTGTTAAGCTTTTCAAAACTGACACAGAACACGTAGTCATCATGGGTGTTAGATCACAAACAGCAACAGGAAAAGCACTATGCAAAAATATCCTTTCAAAAACAGGAAGACTGAATGTATAAAACAACTAAGTTGCCAGAGGTCAGTATGAAAATACTACGGTGAACTTAAGATATTATTTCTAGTAGCAAGTCACCACTTTCTCACTGTTCCAGGTTTATTAAGATCAGCTTTTGACACAAAGACTTATGGCAGCAGTTATTATTGGTGGGAAATTGTGAATTAAAAAATGTACCATCTACAGTGCTACTGAGATGCTGTTGGGAACTAAAATAATTTAAAGTTGATTCACAGATCTCTGAAGAATGTTAGCAATTGTCACAAAAAATTACTAACCAAACAAGCAGGCTAGTGTGTCTCTCATACATTCTTATGCTGTCACATTCTGAAATAACAGCCTCAGTAACTCATCCTAAATATGGGCAGAAGAGCTGCTTTATACTAAAGCTTGAGAAATTATATTGTAGGGTAACAAAGGACCACTCATCCAATCATTAAAAGTATTCTGTGTGGACTTCAACTGTCACAATTGTATAATTTTGCCACCAGTGAAACAGGCCATAGGTTAAGCCTCTTGGAATTAGTAAAGACACAGCTGTGTAGCCTGTACCAGCAGATCAAAATAGTCACTTTAAGAACTGGAATTAGAGACGCTTAGCTTTCATAAGATTCATCTTTGTAGCTGTCTTCCCTGGAAATTAACTAAAGATTTTTGTTATTTTGAGCACTAAAGTAGCATGGGTTGAGCATCCACTGCAGGCTGCTGCTCATGGAAAAGGTGTACTTTCACAAAAACTGTAGGAAGTTAATGAGACTGCCATCCCTTTCCTGACTGTGTTGAAATAAGCAATTTGCTATCAAAAAATGACTATAGTTAATAGGGAAAGAAGTCAGGGAGGCATAGAAAATACAACCACATATGCAGAAAGAATGCTGGAATGGACGTTATCCTGGAACACCGGGCCGGACACATATAAATAGATGTTATTAGTGGTTGCTCTTACCAGTTACTGCTGCTGAGGTGTATGATCCAGCTGCTAGCTGTTTGATCTTGTGCTGGTTGGTAAAAAAACTAATTAAATGAAATGTGGTCCTTTCCTCTGTGTCACCTAATCCCAACTGACCTTCACTGTTACCTCCAGCAGCATACATGTTTCCTTTTTCTGCATACAGAAAAGCACATGTAATACACAGAATGAAGACATTCTCATCAGTGGTAAAAAGACAGAGAAACTAGAGTAAGTCATTTAAAAAGATACTACAGAATAGTTGGGGTCTACTGACCTGAAACATTCTCAAGTTGACATTAGCAATTTCTGTTCTAGCTAGCAAAGAGGCTTTCCTGAACACACTTGGATCACAGCTTTCTACCAGCCATATACATGCATCTCTCTCCATTCTGGAGACTGACCTAAAAAGTAAATATAATCTGAAGCTCTGCAAGAGCTCTGAAAAAATGCTTACTAGAAGCCCTGACAGCCAGAAGCAGCTCCATCCCCAAATAATGCATATTTTAAGACACAGCAGGAGGAAAATTGTGAGTGATGTCACAGGCAAGATAACTGAAGTCATAGCAGTACGTAAATTAAACAGATGCATAAATTGATATCTTTGAGTACTATGAATGAAGAATATTATTGCTTAGGTTTTTATTAGAAATACATTACTTGTTTTAATACTGAAATCATTTTTAATTAACTAGGTCTTTCTTTTGTTTTAGAATCTTAAAATTTAAATTAAAGGTGATGATTGATATCTTTAATTTATACTTTTAATTTTATTATGTTTCACATCTAAAGTGTTCATCTACGATGAAAACGATAAGGCACATCAATAACCCAAATCCAAACACAAATGTGATAAGCAACTGACATACAATGTATAAATGGTCCTTGCTATATAAATGGCCACAAATTATCTAGCCAGCGTGTACATGAAAAGTGACAAATATTTACCCTCTGCAGTCTTGCACACTCAACTGTTATTAAAATGTTTGTTTTATTATAATAGTCTTATTTAGAGTGCTCAAGGTCTCCACATATACAAACCTCCCAATAATCAAACAATCCTCTTCATAACATTATTGCAAGCTAAATGATCAAAACCACAAAGCTGGCTATTCCATTACATAAATTTTAGAAGCATGACAAAAATTTGCATCCATTCTCTGTATACTGTCTCTAAAAAATTACCTTTTAGTTTAAATTTAGTCTGTTTATTTGTAGATTAATAAATCAACATGTCACTGAAATAGCAAACTACCTTGTCTAATCAAAATGCAACAAAACATGAAGTTGAAAACATTCAGTTCTACTGTATTTACTTAAATATATTCACACTAATAAAAATAAATTACTTGTCAAAGATAAATTTGAGTACAGACACATAAAAAGTATTAATATACTTTCACAGAGCTTAAATTAAGTATTGGTAATTGCTAACCACACCTCAAAGGCCAGCAAGGCATTTTTTTCACCTGTCTATTGCTAGCAAATTCCTATACAATATCATTTTATAATCTCAGACTAAATCAAACATTCAAAGAACTGGATACCAAAACACCAAGTTTTAACAGTCACATTTTAATTTCTTTTACTTCCCCAACAATCATGGAGTTCCTAATATAATTCTGCATGAAAGCAAAGGAAGAAATCTATCTTAAATCTATCTTTAATATGTATATAATATAGGTTACATACCTGTGTAAACTAAAGTGTGGTTTCTTCCACAAACAGCAAGTTTTGTTTTTTCTGGTTTTAATGCTACGAATTAAAGTCAAAAAGGGAGGGAGAAGTTATAAACAAGCTGATAGTTGGTTCAACACAAAGTTTCTACTCTCTAGAAGGAGGTGGGATTTTTTTCATATTTTTAACAACAGAATGATTACAAGATTCATTGCCCATCTGAATGTAGCATATGATTTATTAAACCAGGCTTCCCCCAAGACAAGAAAACAGACACAGACTTTAGAAACTTATAGCAGACACTCAGGTTAAACTTGATGATGGCTACTTCATCCCAGTGACTCATTCCCCAGAATTTACCATTTGTGGGATATGCCTCAAAGAACATGTCAAGTTGCAGGACAAAATGCATCATCAAAGCTGTCTTCAGTTTCCGTTAAGAGTACTATACTTAACTTTCTCTTACACTTTTCCCACTATCTTAAATCTTTAAAATCATACCATTCTTTCGTCTTACCATCCCTTTGTTATGCACAGCTACCTTTTTTTGCTAGATTTATGTTCTGCACTGCCCTCCTATTGATCAGTAAACTCAATTGCTAAAGACAGTCCTATCTGGATTAGTGCCTAAAATTTTTGGACGTATTGTACTGTCTCAATTTCAGCTCAGTGACCATTCACCCACTGCATGTGCTTCTTTGGAGTCTGGTCACTGTGAAAGACTGGGAATGTATGTGAGAAGAATCAAAAGCTATTTTGGTGAGAAAGACAGAATACAAAGGTGCCTTTTCTCCCATGGCAAGTGTACTCCAGCAGCTCCTCAGAAACAGAAAAATCTCACCAACTTTTTCTCTCCCCAATTACTGATTGCTGCCAACAGTTTATCTTCTCTCAGCTATGTCCATGTGCCCTATACAATGCTTTTAAAACAGCATTACTTTCACATAATATATCTGTTTTTCCAATATACGAGTCCATGACAAAGCCAACAACCATCAGCCCTTTCCCATCCCTTTTTCAGCCCTCCTAAACAACTTTCATCATCTCCACAGCATTAGATCATTAGATTATAAGTCTCTTCTATCAAATAAATCTATCTACTTAAACATGAACTCTCTCTGGTCTACCACACAGACCAAACAAAAATTGCCCAAATGCAGGTTTCTGTCTATCCCATCCAATACCTACCACTACCACCAGGCTGGAACCATAGCACTTCCATCTTAATTTTCTGCTTCCTATCCCAAAACTCTGCCTCCAACTTCAGAGATGATCCTAATCTGCTCTTGAGAAGCCTGTGTTCCCTAACCTTCCCACTTAGGCTAATCAACTGTATTTGATGAGCCATGCTATATTTATAATGTTGCTTGTCATTTTTCATAATAAATTTCATTAATATCTAGTCAAGTCACAAAAGATACTTTCTCCAAAACATGCAGGCACAACCATTTGTCCCCAGGCAGAAACTGAATTGTGTCCTTGCAACCGCATTCCCAAAGCCAAAGGTGATGGCTGAAAGCTGGCAAGAAAAGTTTCAGGTCTTTTTCCTGCTGCCTACTGACACAAGAAAAATACCACCCCTTGTGACTTTTTTTCAATGGATGCCAGTTCTGGTTTGAATTGCTGTCACCTTCTCTTTGTCTTTTATTCTCCATTGCAATTTGAAAGTAAAAACAAAGGTTGACGCCCAATCCATTTAAGCCAAAGTAAGAACCCATCTCTCACATGGCTGACAGAAGATGTGAACCTGAGAGTAACTGCATTCTATAGCTGAAGTAAAATAGAGAGAGAAGCAGATAAAGGACAGTAGAATAAACTAAATCAGGAAGAAAAGAATCTGAAGAAGAAGGGTAATTTGTTTTTAACAATGAGATGACAGATCAATCTGCTGGCAGAAAAGATGATGATAAACATTCGGCAGTGAAAGAAATGCGTTAATACGATAGATATGATTTGACAGAAGTAAGGGGATAGAGAAAAAAGTACTGACTTAGTTTTGTTTGAAAAGATAAAACCATCTAGGAAATATGAATAAGATAACAGTACAATGAGAACATATTTTACACCACATGAAAGAATATGGGCACTTATTTTACTGCTTCATACAAATATATTAACTTTTATGCCCTCTTGGGTGCTTCTTATACTTGCTACAAATGCAGCAATACTTCCAGAAAGTTCCTTATAGATTTTTTTTTTCATTTGTAAGGGTAATAAGGCAAAAGTGATACCAAGGTTATACAATGCTGTTGGAACTCTGATTTCTAACATATAGACAACAGTGAAGAGATCAGTGTTGATTAATGTTGTCACAGTCATAACACAGATGTGGTTTGTTAGAAGACAGGTATGACACAAAATGAGAGCCCTCAAAAAAAAAAAAAATGAATTCTATCTGTCTGAAGTAATCTTCAGATGAAAAAAGGTCCCAGAATCTGGAACTGATGGAAAATCATTCAGGGATCCCTTAAAGCTACCTTTATGAGCTTGTGCAGTAATATGCTACACGTAATGAATAAAGAAGGCAGAATCAGTTATTTTGGAACTGCATCTTACGAGGTACCTTTTCACAAGGGTCTTCTTTCAAAAAGACAAAAAGAAAATAAAAATATTTGAAAAATTAAACAAACCTTTAACGCATGTTGGTTTGCTGACAGTGTTCTTTGATCCTAGTCCTAATTGTCCCCAGTTGTTACTGCCAAACATGTAGAGTTTACCATTCCCTGAAAAAAAAAGAAAAAAGCACAGTCAGAATCCATACAAATATCTGAATACCTCGCTCAAGACCAGATGGGCATCCACACACTATGCTATATATTACTTCTTTTTTAAATTCAGGTTAAAGATTAGTATTCAGTAGTTAACGTCCTTGTGATTTTTCAGTATGAAAGTAGTAATTGCATTGTTTAAGCAAGAAATCCCCAGCCAGAAAAAGGGACAAAAAGCAGAGCAAACATTCTCTTCTTCAAACTGCACCACAGATAAAGTGCTCTTCAGAAAATAAAACGCTGTACATTTGGTCACACCCTGCGGATCAGAAATCACAGTATCTACAGGCCTACTTATAAAATAACAGCACATTTAACTTAGCACCCACATCTTCTTTCCCAAAGACAGGAATGAATAACAAAGCCATATTATTAATACAAACATGAATTTGTAATATTCAGCTTATTTTGCTGAGTGTGGGCTATTTCTTTTACTGTTAAATGACTTCTCTCAAAATGATTTACAAATTTGCACCTCTACAGAACACAGTTTCTGATAAATTTTCAACTGTGTTCACAAATCGTACTAATTTGTTACTCTGCATAAAAAGAAGGAATACATAAAACCACCATGCAGTCAGGGAATTTTGAAAACCTAAATGCAAACACTAGATTACAAATCTTCAGCAGGATCAATGCTAGAAGCCTGTTTCAATAAACTGTCATAATTCCAAATAACCAGTGGTTAACAGGAAGGTAGATGAACAGATGAAACTTCTATCATCAGGCATACAAATTAGATAGACAAAACTGACCACTGACAATACCCTCAAATTATTTTCATTTCATTTTTTAAACTACTACCTTTTGTAAAGCTGAAGTTCACACCCAAAGATAAAACCCTTGCTCCAACAGAAATCTTTGCAAAATGAAACTGATTTGTCAAAAGACAAACAAACAAACAAAATCCCCAATACTTTTACCACTGCTAAAAGGAGTTTGTTTTCTTTTGATGAAGGTCTGCAGAGCTTTGTGAGCTCGACTCCATTACAAGGCTGACACATAAATAAACTTTGTCACCCTAGCTATCAATAAGTACCACATGATCACAAGGCGTAACAGCAACTCCACATAACATCAAAATACTATGGTTATTAGTACTTCAGTAGTGTAGGCTCCCAGTGAAAACTCCCAGCAAATGTGAGTTGCAGAAACTTTGAAATATGATATTGAAATGTTTAAAATATAACAAAAATATTTCTTCTGTTTAAAAAAATCCTTTTATTTTCTTAATTATATCCATTTTGTTAAAAAAAAAACATCACCACCAACAACAAAAACAACCAAACCAACAAAACAAAAGACCCCAACAAAAGCACAGACCAGCACCAACTAACAATCACTTATATCTAAAGTCCCAATGAAATTTTTAGATTTGTCAGTTTTTGGAACATGTTGCTATGTGTCAATACTATGTCTCTCCAAAAAGGTCAGAAGGGAAGAAAGTATGAGGTCAAGTCTACACTCCCAGGGTTTTACTATTTTGATAATGCAATCATGTCAAAACACATGCAGAGCTGTCTGTCACTGACAGCAAAACACGCCTTCACAGAAAGAATTTTTGTTAGCAAATGGCATTCTATACTGGTGTATGGTTTCTTGTATCCTTGGTTTATACTGTTTAACTGCCTTTATAAAACAATAGTACTCCTGTAGGAATATGGTGCCAAGCTGCTGTAACTCAAGCATATTCTATTTTATCCATTCAAAATTCTAACAAGTCATGCCTTCTATCCTATAACCTGTTGTTTTTTCCACTAGTTTAAATTCTCAGACAGTGCATGCTGAGGATTTCAGCTGGTATTTCCCAGCTACTGAATGAATGCCTTTAGTAGTGCTTCATAAACCAGGGGAGCATGACAGATGGGGATTCCATGTATCACAGTAGGGTATGATAATAGCAGGCAGCCAAGTATTCCTACTACCCATGTTTAAAGGTACGTTCTACAGATTCCCCCACCCTGCTTTCTAAATAATATTAGAGTTGAAGGGAAATAAAAGGGGAGACAGTATACAGACTTTGAGCACTTAGTACAAGATTCTATTGAAAAGCTGTATCTAAAGAAAATGTAAGAGGTAACATTTTGGACAGAGTATAAATACCAGGCACCATAATTTATTTATTTATGCTATTTTCTCAATAAACTATGTTAACATTTCATTTAAAATTCATATACAATTCAAATACATTTCATTAAAACAAGACTGACATCACATTTGTTAGGCAAGTTGTGATATTCTCAAAATAAAAGCTCTATTGAGCAATAAAAAGTCACACCTAGGACATCTAGAATCACAGAAACAAAAACAGTGCAGTATGTTGCTTGCTCCTACACATATCAAAGATGAACACAAATGTGTATTAATCTTTCTCATTCTCCCCTCACAGTTGATGTAAAAGATGCTCTGATGGCCGGTTGGTAAGCAGAAAGAATAGAAGGAAACTGCTGTCCAAAGACCTGGAAAGGTTCCAATGTCTCTTTGGTGTAAATTGTTGAAAATTTAATGCCTTACAAAATGTGAAATTATAAGCATACTATCTTGTTGTGCACCTCTTTTCATTCCTCCTTTAATACTTTATACTTGTTTCTTTCCTTCTACCGTCTTGCACTGGGGCCTCATTCTCTCCAGAGCTCTGAGTCCAGAAAATGTCTTCTGTCATTGCCATTTTCCCCCTTTTGAGTAGGATTAGTCTCTCTGATCAAATGTGGGTAAGCTGCCTAGGATATTCTAATCAAGAAAAGAAAATTAATAGAAAGGTATTGGGAGTAGATTCTTAAAAATATGTGCAACATCACTTATTTCACACCAACTCTCAATGAATAAATTGCTTTCCAAAGCTTTGAGTTACAGAAGATGCAGGAAGTGGACTGTTAGTATTCTTGGGCCAAAAAACATAGAAATGGGGGAAGAAACATTATCATAAATTCCAGGTGATGTTGGAAGATATACTGCTCGTGACTGTGTTAAAGAACTAAAGAAGACAACTGCTTAAAAAAATTCCTGCTTGAACATTCTGATGAAGATTGTGCTAATGGTAGAGAGCAGATAAATAAGAAAACACAAATTTCAATCCTAAACACCAAAATTGAAGAAGGAAGTGGTTTTCCAACTAACTCAGCAAGCCAACTCTAAGTCAGCAAGTAACTCAGTGGTCTTTTCTATGCCAACATACAGCCACAGTATGTAAACAGAATTTTGAACTCCTAAGTCCTGACCTAGAAAGCCATAGTGTTTTATATTTACTCTACACTTTTATTTCTAAAAGTCATATGGGAATATTGGTGCTGGGTAAAATGAAAGAAGTATTTGAAAAATTATGAATATTTTGTTTAAATGCTGAATATTAGTTCCTGTATATTATCTTTATTTGAATTCAGTCAAAATTCAGTGCTAGATCTATCTGTTTTTCCTACCCAAACTGGCTCTAATAACATTTTGTACCCGTTTGAGTGATCGTTTTACTTATGATCATTGAGACATGTTAGTGCAAATCTGGTGTTTTTCTATTAGATTGAATCTGCCTTGTATTTCCATGGTTCTCTACATATGTAGATCCCACTATCTCTGGAAAAAAAAAAAAAGGAAGGGGGGAATTTTGTGACCTGCAAATAAAGACTGAAAATATAATGAAGCATGCATTAACACACACCTGCTTCAGATAATTTTCCTTCCTCAGTAATGCTTGTCTTTTATCTCTTGCATGTCAGGTTCAGCTGGATTTCAAGAAGCTCCGGGTTTCCCGCAAGGTCTGTACCCTTCTCAGTAAACTCATTACTGGCATGCACTTCTGAAACTTATTCCAGGCATTACTGCAGTCCAATGTCATTCACCAAGGACTGTAATCCCACTGTATCATCCAACTCCATCTAACAGCAGAAATGCGAGGGGCACACGGGCATGGACGGGTGTGAAGAACAAATGAGGGATAAAGATTTTCTATTTTCCTTCTTCACTTTTTTGTATGACTTCTGCAGTTTCTCCACCTTCGCTCATCATTGATCAGTATTTTACCCTCAAATTTGCCTCTACTTTGCAATGCCCCAGAAAATCTTTCCGTACCGAGAAAATTTTGTACTCATGCTTCTACAGTTCCTTCTACTCAAAAGCTTCGAGAAAATAAAGATCTGATAACCTAGAAGTTTCCCTGGTGACATATGTGCACACTACCTCAGCAAAGGCCAGCTAGAGATATTTTTGAAACATGCTGCATATATTAAAATAACAGGGACAAAGGAAGACAGAGAAATGGTGCTGAATGCAAACCTATGCAAGTTGACTTCTTAAAAAGCTTTATGTAAGTGGCCAAAATTACAATGACATGGGGATCAGGGGCTTGTGGCTGATCAGGGTAACAGTGCTGGCACAGGCACATGCGGGGGAAACTCAAGAGGCGGTTTAGATTGTCTAGTCTAAACTGAGAATTATAGCAGTGTTATTTCAAATTGGGTGCGAGCATATGAAAGGATATATAAAAAACAAATCAAAATGAAAATTTCACAGTGCTCCAGGTTACATTATAATTAATTTTATGCAACAGGCAGTTTACTAGAACTGGTTCAAACCAAGAAAAATGTAGTTTTGTTCAAAATAAACTATTCATGGATAATTCATCTTCTATGAAGTTAGGCTTGAAAAATTAATTGTACCATTTCACCTCAAGATGTTCTGCAGATCCTGAAATCTGTACTCTTTTTTAACCATGCCTGAAATAGTTCATTCTAAAAATCCAGCATCTTCAACTTTGCTTGGGAACTTAGCAAGAAAGCCTTAAGAAATTATTTAATGAGTAGCGACCAGTTGGACATTGATGAGGAATAAATAGATTTCAATAAAATACTCCTGAAAATATCCATACACATTTTATAAGAAATCTTATCTGTTAGCAGTTGATTGTCAGTACAGTCAACACACATTTCATCAACAAATAGTATTTTTCTTCCGCATAAAATAAACTTAACAAATTCTTCAATTAGTATTCACAATTTCAAAGAAATAAAAAAAACATTAATACTGCTCCCTGTATTGCATCTGAGTTTCTCTGAATGCTTTTGCAGTTTATTTCGATTTTAGTAGATTTTCTGAAGTTGGTTTTTTTTTTAAGTTGCTCTTTCAAGGGTTATTTTCAGTTGACAGTTAATAATATCCATTTCAGAAATACGACAGTATCTATTGTTTCAGGTAGATTCCTAGTGAACTTGTTGACTGTGTTCAACAGATACTGTTTACTACCACAATACAAACCTTTATATTTATGATTGCCTACTAACCACTCTCAGATTCACAAGAAACATTCAAACTGAACAAAGTCATGCTTACTTTAAATGCTGTGAGATACACTCCGTTACTACAGCTTCCCTCATGACAGGTCTTGGGCATGTCTTGTGAAAACCTACAGTGATCTCAATCTAACTTCAAAAGCATTCAACAGTTCCCACAGAGAAGTCCTTTCTCCTCTCAACAATCTCATTTGATATATTACTTCATGATTTAAAGAAGAATCATAACTTTCCAAGCTGTAGAAATATATAACCTTTGATCATACACTCCGTTTCCAATACTGACCTGTAACAATAGCGGTATGTTCATCTCCACATGATATAAGTACAGGCTTGTCATTTTTGAACCAGAACTTGCTGGGAATATCTTCTGCAAATCTGCTTTTTCCAAATGTGAAAACAGCACCTGATTCTAAACCACAAAAATATAACGTCAATTTTAGTGAAAACAAATTTTGCCTCATACATTTTGAAATAACTTTCTATTAATTCAATTTAATTAATTTTAGTTTCCTATTTTTTTATTTCTACAGAATGTCCTGGGTTCAGCAGTAGCAGTCATTTTTCTCCTCCTTAGTAGCTGGTGCAGTGCTGTGTTTTTGTCTTTCAGCCTGGGAACAGCGCTGGTAACACCGACATTTTTAGTTGCTGCTCGGTAATGTTTACTCTGACCAAGGACTTTGTGAGTCTCATGCTCTGCCAGGGAGGAGGGGAAGCCAGGAGGAGCAGAGACAGGGCACCTGACCCAAACTGACCAAAGAAGTATTCCATACCACAGCACTTCATGCCCACTATATAAACTGGGGGCAGTGACCCAGAAGGGACAGATCACAGGTTGGGTTGGGCTGGGTATCAGTTGGCGGGTGGTGAGTGGCTGTATTCTCTCCCCTTGTTATTTCCCTTATCATTATTATTATTGGTGGTAGCAGCAGTGATTTGTGTTACACCTTAGTTACTGGACTGCTCTTATCTCAACCCATGGGAGTTACATTCTTTCAATTTTCCTCCCCCTCCATCCGGAAGCCGGGGGAGGAAGAAGGTGAGGGAAGTGAGCGAGCATCTGCGTGGTTCTGAGTTACTGTCAGGACTTAAACCACAACACAAAAAAAAATCTGAAGTGTTTTATTCTATTCCGTTTTATCAAGACTACTTCATTTTCAGGCTCACCTTTTAGTCCTTCTGATACTTCCTAGTCTTCATAAATTTCCTAATAGAATAGATATTGTTGCTGGTATATTGTGTTCTGAGGACACAATAATTTAACATTCACTCATGCACTTTATCACTACCCTCTAAGAATAAAGGAAAGGAAAGAGGATAACTGCCCCCAGAGAGTAAAATAAAACTCTCATCCTGAAAGCTGGTCAAGGCAAGGAGTTCTCACATTTATACTTGAATTCATACAGGTTTTCCAGATTGGAGGGGAAAGAGAGGGAGAAAGACAGACACACACACACTGTAAAGATGTGACAGGCTCCGAACTGATCACTCTTCATCATCCACCTGAAGAGACACATTTGCTCTAAAAATGGCCCCCTAAAATCAAAACTCTCTGCCTTCAAAACATGGGTTGGCACAACTGCCTTTGATCATAAGACCATGATTTAAAACATCCAAACAAAGCCACCCCAAAATAAAGTCCACACAGCTCTTTTGCCCTCCCAAATTGCCTAGTTTTCTCAGTGTCAGCGATGTTGTTTCAAAACACAGAACGTTAAATATTCATTCACCTTTTGGTCAATCATGTTGCTCAACACAGAAAGTATTAATTCTAGATGAAAATGAATGAATTTATAAGTTAAATAACTTGCTCAAAACCAGGTAGAAAATGAGGCAAAGCCCAATTAGACCTCCTACTTTAAAATGTCAAACCTTGTGCTTCAAGCATAGAACAGTTTTTAGGAAAATAAAACAAAAAACCCAAACCTTTTCCTTGTAGACTTTTTGTTAACGGGAAGTTATGTTAACACAAATATGCACAGTAACACTAGACTGCTTATATGAAATCTTGTAACATACATATCTCATCAATAGTGTGCATACCAGCTTCAAGAAAGCCCTCAAGAGAGAGAAACTGTAAATTTGATGCTTACTTTGAAATGAATTTTTAATGCAAAAGCTTAACATATTTGCAAGTAAGATAGTATTTTATGTATCAGGTTCAGCAGACGTATAAAATTGTGTTTAGTACCTCTCTAGATACACTAGATTTCAGAGCACTCACGCCAAAGCAGAGCTCTCTGGTCAATTTATGTTTCTTTCAAAACTAGCATGAAAGTATTTATGTGCTATTAGTTTTAGTGTATACAAAGAGCAGACAACTTAATTCACAAACATGCTCCATCTCTCATTCATTTCATAACTGAAGCCTAAGCAGTCAGTTGGGAAATTAAATCATACCAGTTCATAAAATTAAATCCCACAGAACGGGGCTTTGAGCAACCTGGTCTAAGTGTGAGGTGTCCCTGCCCGTCGCACTGGGGCTGGAACTGGATGACCTTAAGGTCCTTTCCAACCCAGACCATTCCGTGGCTCTAAGATAAAGGAGGGTTTTGCAGTCTCGGCACCGAGCAAACATTTAAAAATTACCGGTTGTTCAACTACGGACCAAAACTTATTTATTAACTGGAGAAGCCCCGTTTGCTTCACACCGCACCGATACACCCTGCCGCTGACGCCTGCAAAGGCTGCTCCGTCCAGTCTCTGACGCCAGAGTACGGAACACTCCGGACCGGCGTCCGCAGGCCGGAGAGAGAGGGGGCGGCTGCGAAGGATCGAGCACCGCGACCAGGGGCCGCGGCCGCACGCCGGGGCACGGAGGCGGCCCCTGAGCCGCTGATGGCGCCCATCGCCGCCGCGGTGGAGTAAGCGGGCGGGGACCGCAGCACCCCTGCCCGCAGCTCCGTCCCTGTGAGGCCCCGGCAGCACTCACCGGGCACCGGCAGCTCGTCCTCCTCAACGAGCTCGGCCATAGCAGCAGGCGGCAGGCGCCCCATGCACGGCGGCTGCCGGAAGTAAACAGACGCCGTGGTACTGGCAACGGCCATAGAGAGCTGCCATGGGGAGGCAGCCCGGCCGGGGGTGTGGTGATCGCCCCCTGGCGGCCAGCTATGGGGCTGTCACCCGGAGCCTGCCGTTCCCGACATCTTACGTTCCACAGAGCCGGCGGCGGCTTCTCCTTGTTCGCTGCATGTACGGGGAGCACGAACCGGCCGCAGCACGCCAGGCGGGGCTCACGGCTGCTGGGAGGAGGGAGGAAACACCTGGAGTCGTATCTCCAGCTTTACTTCCAAAGCACCGTCCCTGAGTGCCTGGGCATCATTCCTGTGTCCCTCCTCTGTAGCCTGTCGCCTGCCTCTGACTCCCGACCAGCCTTCTCGCACCGGAGCTCTACCAAGCCATACCTCTGCTTGCCCTGCTGGGTGTGTGGAGGGGCTGCCGTGCCTCAGCCGGGTGAGCAGAACGTAGATGGGAAACTTCATTTTGTCACCGCAGGGATCCTTCTGTTCTAAACGACGAGTTCCCTCTGTTTGATGGTATCTCACGAGGATGTCAGTGTAAAGTCTTCTGATCGGGTGCACAAGAAGACATTCAATCATCCACCCAGCCAGGGACACTTTGGTAAGGGCAGTTCTGCAGACCCCACCGGCACAGGTCCAGGGGCTTTGTAGCCTTTAACTCCCTGGTCTAGCGGAAGGTGTCCCTGCCCCGTGGCAGGGGGTTGGAACTGGGTGAGCTTTAAGGCCCCTTTCAAACCAAACCGTTCTATGAGTCTATATTTAACATGCAGTCCCAAACTCCCAACTGAGCTTTTCTGTTGTCCCCCCCTTGTTCCCCCCCCCGCCCCTCCCCGTCCCCTCCAAGAAATCCATGGTTAGTTACAGATTTTATTTCTTGCTATTCCTGTGCTCTTCAGATACGCTGACAGAAGAAGGTCTTGCTTTCAAGATGATGTACTGCAGCAGAGGCTGCAGCTGGCAGCCTGGACAACCGATTTAAGCCTTGTTTATGCCGAGCTTAATCAATACAGTTATTGGTGCACAAGATGAGGTGTCCGTATAAGTACACACAAAGAAGGGTTGACACATTTTAAAAACGAATCAAATCCCTGCATGAAGCTGCTCTTTAGTCTCTTTGAACCCCAATACCCCTCTGAAGCTTTCTTCCCTGTTTTTCCTAAGTCTGGAGTGAGGAGATATCCATCAAAAGCTGTTCAAAATAAAACTGAACATTGTTCTACGAAGTGATGACTGAGATTGTAGTTACCAGACACTGTGGTTGCCGAGAATATAAATGAGTTACAAAGCGATTAAGAAGACTGATGGGGAGGTGTCTGCAGCAGGATTTGGGTTTCTGTAACTGTTGAATCCTTCTTGAGGATCAACATCTGCCTGAGAGATGGGAGCCACCTCACAAAGCGGGACAGATCTCTGCTGGTATGGTGGCTGATCTGGTAAAGACGTCCTTGAACAAGGAATGACTGGGAAAGGACAGTTACCAGCAGTGTCTGTGAGTGGCTAGATGCTGAGCTCGTAGAAGTCTTTATTGGACACCACTCAGTGGAGTTTGAATGAGAAAAGCTGGCAAGTGCTGCCTTTTCCAAGCATCTCAGAGTTGGTTTGGCATGAGCAATCAGGGGTCCTGAACAAATCCCACCAACTGTTATCACCCTGCATGACTTTTTCATGGCAGTTTCTCTGGGGAAGAGAGACTCCGTGTTTTAATTATATGATCCTCATATTGAAATTTCAACATATCGCTTTCTCTGACAGATGTGCCATCACCTTGATTTACATAAGTATGCCTTTCCTTACACAGAGGTCCTTACACTTTCTCATTACTATGAGAAAGAAACGGCCATATTTCAAACTATCTACAGTGCAGGTGGCATAAAATCTTATCTGACTATTCTATTTGAAGGTAGAAACTTAAATGAACTCACTTTAGTATTTAGCACTTGACCAACATCGGATTATATAGCAGGCAATTTAAAGTAAAGAGGTATGCAGGTTGCAATATTTAAGTTTCTGGGCCTTACTGAAGGCTGTTTAATGCACAATTGAAAACTTGGTCCAAAAAACACCCCAGGAAAACATACAATTCTAATTTAGCCCTTCTCCACTTTATCAGGGCTCTACAGACACGAATAAGCCTTAATGGCCTTCCCCAGCCCCTCACCCATTAGCCCAGGACCCCAGTTTTGGCTCAGTGCAGGTCCTGCACAAGCCACGTCAGGGCCAGGGAGCCCCCACAGTCATGGTCCCATCCCCAAGGGAGCCACCCTGCTTGTGCTCCACACTGCTCTTTTTGCACTAGCACGTGCTCCTGTGCAAATATTTAGCAAACATGAAATTGCCTTGAAATGGTATTGACACAGGTACGATATGATGGGCCCACCGAAAAGAGCACAGGCTGTGGGTCTGTGAGAAATCTTTATCTGCAGAGTTTGACCAACAAAAAGCTTCAGTGTCAGTTCCCACCAGCCCTGGCTGGGTCAAGAAGAGCAAAGACTTTGGTTCTTGGTTTTGTCTTGTCTGCACAGCAGCGCAGCCCCCTCTCTGCTTCAAACGCCTTTGCTTCTCTTAACTTTATCTGTGGGGCTGAAAGAAGCGTAACACGAACAGAAGATGCTGTTTAGTGTGAAGAACTTACTCAGTGCTGCAAAACTAGCAATGACCAGCAGGCAGCGGCTGCAACAGTTTTGGTAAGCTTATCCTTTAGTTTTGTCTGGTGTCCAGTGATATTTAGTCAGAAACCTGGAGACAAAACCAGATGAATCTTATGAAGGAGTGAGATTTTCAGAAAAAGCCATGGGTTGGTTTTTTTTCTGCATTTTTAGTGCCCTTTTGCTTCTCAAGGCAACAAGCTCTACATCTTCAGGAGATGGGAGGATTTTCCCTTTTATTGTTTGTGAAATACTGCTAATTTCTATCTACTCTGCAGGTACTGTATCAATAAATAACTATCCAAATAAAGTACACAGGATATTCTTATGCATTTAGACAATTGTCATGGTCAGTACTGGGAGGGAAGTTCTCTCCTTGGAGCTGCAGGATGAATCTCTGCTTTGGTTTATTTTTTTTTCTTGTTTCTGTATACACTGGAGACATGCAGGAAAAGCATGATGTGTGATGAGGCTCACAGTTAACCATGTAGACCTGGCTGTGTGACCTGACTTCAGGTTCCTTCTCCAGTTGCATATCGCCTGTGCCTGAAGAAAAGCAGTTGTATCACAGTGTTTCAGTGAGCTGCTTCTCATGCTTGTCACATCTCCAGAATCAGGTTAAACTTGATTCCACATCTCCCTGTGTTTTCATGTCAGTGTCAGTAAGAGCATTAACAGCATTATGTAACAAATTATTAGTGCTAGAAAACAATACATGTGAATTTCATATTCTCAGGAATCTTAATATGCTGTAAGTCATTTTTATTTATAATTCCTACATTGCATCAGAAGAAAAACAAACGTTTTCTGAGTTCTGTGATTTATTTGCTAGTTTTAAAGTGGTCCTGAAGCCTGGGTAATAATTTTTTAATGGATTTTAAATTTTCACTGCTGACAATCGATGGGAACTTTCTCTGGTAAGCAGAAGTGATAGAAAAGCAAGTTTGTAAAACAATTGCAGTAAATCTGGTTTTCCAATAAACTCACCCAATTTGTTAAGCTCCTCACATAATGTTGTTTGTTATTTTTAGGGGGTTTTAGCATTATATCATAATGTCGGCATAAGCTATCACCACTGTCTCTGAGTATTACAAGTTCAGCACACTGTGGCTGATATTACAGGATAACCTAGGATCTATCAGCCTGTTTTACTAGTCCAAAGTAATTGCTGTCCCTCCTCAGAAAGGATTAAGCCAACTGCTTGACTTTACAGTTCTGCCTGTTACATTTTAACTTTGGTATGTTGTCTCATGCTCCTTCTCTGGAATTTATTTGTACATTTCTGCCCCTCTTTCAGAGGACATGGGCAACAGGGAAGGGAATGCATTTCTTGAAGGTCATAGCAATAAAACAGAATCATCATGGGAACTCAATGGTCAGGAGCAGACCGCTAGTCCTGCTTTCTGCTATATTATCTTTTCTTACTCATGTCTTGAAAACCTCCACGGATGGTATTTCCAAATCCTCTCTTGGGCAACCAATTTTACTGCTTCACTATCTGCCAGTGCAGAAATTAGTAGTGGATATTTCTCAGTCCACTTCTCAATAGAGCAAAGACCAATGAACAGACAGGGCTTGGATGTGACTTTCATTAACACATCATGTCTAAGCTAGAGGAAATTTGATCTTGTAACTTCTATGGGTGATTATCAAAATCAAATGCCATATGATTCTGAAGTCCGAAATCCGGCTGGCAGCCAGAATACACTGAATAAACACAGTGCACATGGCCAGAACTTCTCTTGTGTGGTAAGGACTAGAGCACATGGCCGTTTTGTTGATTTTTTTTTTACTTTCTTCCCCAGTGTAATGAAGAGATTTCATACACATTTATAGAAATGTATTGGTGGGGATGGAAAATAGCAAGCGCCTGCTCATCTACAAAGCACTAAGGAAGGAGGGAGAAAGAGCACCAAGATCTGTGCCTCATATCCTGTGACCCCAAAGAGCAACTCTGCAGTCTACACATAAGCTGTTTCACCATGCCTTGAACAGCTTTATGCATTCGGGTTTATTTGACAGGCAGCATGCAGTCACGTCATCTGCATTTCAGAAGGCAAAAGAAACTACATCTAATGTACAGTTTATAATACTATTTGAGACACTGTTATGGTGCTGATCAATATATTGCATAGTGGCATCATGTGTCAGTCTGACAATAAAAGTTACTTTAACTAACTAACACAGTCCATCAGGCTGATCCAGCTGGGTCATAGAATCACAGAATCAACTAGATCAGAAAAGACCTTTAAGATCGTCAACTGTTACCCCAGGACTGCCAAATCCATCACTAAACCATGTCACTAAGGGCACTTCCATGGACAGTGACTCCACCACTTCCCTGGGCAGCCTGTTCCAATGCCTGACCACCCGTTTGGTGAAGAAATTTTTCCTAATATC